TGCCTGAGTCATATCCTAAAAATCAAATGACAAAACCTGAGAGAAGAAGTAAGACTTTCTGATGATTTTAATAGTCAACTAGGTTTATAATGTATCCACTCTACTTGGATATTTAGATCCCAAGTTGTTTAAGGATTTATAAACATAAGCAAACCTTTGAACCTGACTCAGTTGCTGATTAGTGCAGTTCGGTGGTGGGAATCAGCTGGTTCACACCAGTTCGTCAGAACCGGTAGCTAATTTTTTGTTGCCCAAGCCCAGAATGGACTTCTGGAAGCGGCATCCACACAGAGAACCAGTTGATCACATATTTGAATCCCACCACTGGCACAGTTGCTTCATCAAAAATGTCCCATTCTACAAAATAACCACCTTCTGCACCATCTGTAGCAGAGAACATTACAATATTAAAACAGGAGGTCACCAATGCATAAACATGATTCCCAGGAAAGAGCGGAACTGAAGCAGTAACCAAAAGGTACAATAGGATACTTGGAACTTGTTTCATTAGTGATTTCTTGGAGCACCTTCTAACCATATTCTGAGAGTGCTAGTCACATCCACCCAGTTCCCAGTTCCTATACCTGACAACCAACCATGCAAAAGATCTCCATCTTCCCAGGATTCAGGTTGTTTATTGGCTCTTAGTCACCCAATTATCACATTTTAATAAAGAATTATTTGTTTTATTTTTTAAACACAAAAGTGTAGTTTTGAAGTTATAGGGGCCTCTTCTTTGCCTTAAGTTTCCAGAATACAAATAAAAGTAGATATAGCACAGCCATCAAAACTCACCACTTTTTTACATGTGTGGAACAAAAACAAATGGGTAGGATTACTATTATGCAGCCATAGCCACCATCTTGACTTTTTTATACACCCCATACCCATTCCTTGGATTCTGTGCTGCATTCATTCTGGTACTTTTAACAAAATCTGGGGATAAACATCTGTTTACCTAGAACAGTGGTTCTCAACCTTTTTAATGCCGCAACCCCCAACCAGTCGTAAGTCGAGGACTACTCAACTGGTGCAGCACCGTTTGCAGAATGGGACTTTTGGCGGGCTCAGCAGGGCAGAGACAGCCTGGACAATTCCTATTGGCTTTTGAAAGCAATAGAATTAGACTCTATTCAAGAGAGTCTATTCTATTGGCTTTCAAAAGCCAATAGAATAAAAGGGAGTAGCACAGCTAAGGAAAAGGGGGGAAAAATGGCGGACTGCGTTGTTTGGCAACCCCCGTGAAATGGTCGTTCGACCCCAAATGGGGTCCTGACCCACAGGTTGAGAACCACTGAATATCCTTCGGTCTAGTCTGATAATCCAAGCACATATGATGAGTGTCAAATTAAGAAAAGGTAATCTATAGTACTGTATATTGCTAGAGTTTTTTTTCCTGGCGCAAGATCAAAATAACCAAAACTTTCATAGACATTTTTGTTTTGAATAGTTGAAACTTTTTAATTAAGTAGCTCAGTAGTTATGTAAAAATGGGGAATTGCATTGTCTTAAAAAATACATTGCTTTTTGAGAGCCTTACCTCTTTCTACTCTCTTGTCAAGCTATAACAGTATTAACTATAACAGACAGAAGATTTTGAACATTTCCCAAATCCAAACTACTGTTACAGTACAGAAGAGGAAAAAAAAATCTTCAGTACTACTATAAGAGTGCCAACAGCACACCACAGAAGTACTTTAATAGGCTCTATAACATGTCGGTTGGATTCTTTCCATACTGTATATTTTTTTCTATCTTCTTTCATACATGCATGAAAGAGAAGCCTAAATTGTAGTACCTGAATGAAAAGCAAAAGGTTGGTCAGAATTATCACAAAAAAAAAATCTGACTGGCACAGCAGAGAAGGCAGTTTGCAGTTTGGCTCTTTAACCATTAATGCCTAGAGACGGGAGAAACGGATCTATAAAAAAGCTCAGTAAACATGTCAAGGAAGTGGAAGTCTGAACCATGTCAACAGAGCAGCCTGTCCAGAGCTTGGACTTTGGCAGCAAACGAATGAAGCCATCCTTTCTCACATTTGAGAGTCGCTCATTGTGCCTCCACGTCCCCTGGAAATCATTGGCCATTGGGTAATGCTGTATAAAGGTTAAGAGGTAGGACTTGGAGTGGGAAACTTCATTTAGCTTCAAATTCCCCATTAACCATCAAGTTCATTGAATGATTCTGGGCCACAACTTTCAGGCTTGCAGGATGGTGGGGCAGGAAGACCGACTTACATTACTATATACTGTCCTGAATAACTTAGCAACTTTAAGATGTCTGCACTTGCTGGGGAATTCTGGCCATTGAAGCCTGGATATCTTTAAGTTGCTAAGGTTGAAAAATCCCCCCAGCCTTGCAGGAGCAGATGTTGTTACTTCCCAAAGAAATATGAGATAATCATGAAATAAAATTGACATTTAAAGTTTTGAAATGACACCATTTATCCAGGCAGTCCAAGAAACCATGGCTTCTTTCAGCAATCTCAATTGTTTCACGGACCTAAGCTCATTCAGGATTTTTTTTTTGGGGGGGGGGGAGGTAAGAGATATCATTAATAACAAGTGCACAACAATTTTAGTTAAAAATCCAATGTACATTTACTTATTTTTGATTAATCAGAAATAGTATTAGATGGTCAGTCCTTCAAACACTCAACAGATGGGATTGCCTCTTGCATAGCCATGAAGGTTCTTCATCTTCCTGGTTTAAAAGATTGTTTCCTAAGGCTAACATTCAGTCCAGCAATAAGCTTCCATTACTGAGACCGCATCCAAAGTCAGATGGACCAAATCAACTTGGAAATTCAAGGGGTGGAACAGGCCGAAGATCATCCTTGCTTCAGTGAAATCACACTGATCAAGTTTAGGATGTTAAGAGGGGGAAAAAATGGAACTTAAGCCACAATGACAGACAGTAGCCTTGAAATGCTTCTCTTTGGATGAAATTCTCCATGTATCCAAGAAACCTTACCTGTGACAGATTGTGAACTGAACAAGAGGAAGTAGCAAACTCTAAGTCCAGGGTTTTAGATTTATTTCAGGATGGAGAACGGATTTATATTGTCCTTCTGGAAAGCTCATTTTTCAACATGCACTATACTTTTGAAAACCCTTTTCATAAGGCACAGCAGATAACAAACTATAGAAAAAAAATCTTTACTTCCACATTTCTAGTAACATTCCAAAAAAAAAAAATCATCCAAAATCTAGAAAAATGTAGGCAGCCTGCATTATGTTGGTATCTGTAGCACTGCAAAACTGCTGCATTTGTTTGCACCAAAACAAAATACTTATTACAAGTTACATACTTTTTTGAAACAAAACAATCTTTAGTGGGTTACATAAAGTTAATTGCTATTCACTTATGGAATGCACCTATTACAGAATGCACCTATTCTCTTTTCTGTTCCCAAATTTTAGCAGCAAAAAGGGAAGTTTCCATTTCTAAAATCATCCATATTTTATATTTTCATAACACAGTAATAAAAGCAGAAGGGGAACTCTAATCTTTTTTTTTTAAAAAAAATGAAAACTATTTTACATTAGATATACTAGTGAGAAACTGTAAAACAATTTATGTACATTCTAGATTATGCATACTTGGGATTAAAAATGAGTTCTTCAAGACTTTTATTTTCCTCTGGAAGAACCTATTTTTGTTTGTTTGTTTGTTTGTTTTTTTATATTGGAGAGAATTTGAGCCAAACCAGGACCAGGAAATAGAGGATGGGAGATAGGAGGCAAAAGAATTTTCTTTTATCCTACCCCTTTTTTTAATTTTAGAGGCAAGAACAAATGTCCTCAGCTACCGACAGCTATCATCTTTATTTTTGAACGTCCGTAGTCTCCAAAGACCGTGTTCTAAATTCTGAGGGTGCCAAAAGTTAGGACTTTCCTTTGCAATGTGCCAGTTTCCCATTAAAAAAAAAAACAAAACACTAATCAATTGATGCAAGACAGAACAGAGAGCCTGGTGGGTCCAGAGAACTGCTCTTTAGCCAGACTTAGTCACACCGTTAGATATCGCTGCCGTCTCTCACTTATTATCTATAAAGATGACCACACATCTATTTTTTCCTTCTGCTGCATGTATATAAATGGGTGAAAAGAGAATATTGTGAAGCAGTTTGCTTAGTCTGTGCCCTTCAGATTACATTAGACTATGACTCAGAGCCTTCCCAGCCGCTGTGGGTGCTGATGGTTATAGTCCAAGATAGCTGGCAGGTAAAAGGTTAGACAGGCTATTGCATAGCACAAGTGGAGCAGAGAAAACTCAAAGTCTAAGTGACACTAAGCAGTGAAAAACAACCCAAAAGGAATTCTTTGCCCCCTTTTTTTCTAATTTACACATTTGTATATATGATTACTATATGGCAGTGGTGGCGAACCTATGGCACTAGTGCCAGAGGTGGCACTCGGAGCCATCTCTGTAGGCACGCATGCTGTCACCCCAGCCCTGCCTCCCCCATAGCCCCCCCCGGAGAAGAGTCACCCCTGGGTGTGGCCCGTGCAGAGCTGCACAGCCAAGCACATGGCAGCTGGGCAGCAGATCATGCTGCAGGATGCGGGTGGAGGGCGTGGCCACTATGGTGCTGCAGGGCCACCTGGGCAATCTGCGGTGTGCCGTGGATGGCCCTGAGAGTGGGCGGGGTGAGGGCGGAGCAGGGCAGGAGCGGGTGGGCAGAGTGGAGGTGGGCCGGTTTTGGGGCACTCAGTCTCTAAAAGGTTTGCCATCACTGCTATATGCACTTCATTATTTCTCCATTAAGAGTTAGAGTCATAACTTTACAATAAGAGGTACATCCTGATCAGTTTTTTAAAACCTCAACATCTTTAACCAATTTCGTAGGCAACTACTCATCCCAAAATTGAGAGAAAATGGATTCCTAGAGAGCAAAGGTTTTCAGCACCTGGACCATCAGGTAACTGGGAATTTTCCATTTGGCATCCAACTGGCATTTTTCATACACAAGACTTCAGAAAAATTTGGTAGCCATCCACAGGGCTCTCATATCAGTTTTATTCATTGGGCTTCTCAGATTATAACTATGGACCCCAGTGAGGCCAATTCAGACACAATAGAAATGTGGAAGCATCAACACCAACAATTATGTGTCAGGAGGAAATCAAAGCATCACTTTTGTAATCTTCAATTATCTACAGTTCCTCTGATAGCAATGCAAGTACACTTAGTGAAAAGAAACCAGCATTCCTCTACGTAGAGTAGCCATGTGAGTTTGCTGCAGAATAATCACAAAGATACTCAGGGATTAAAAAATAATTTGATTTTTCAATTACCTTCATTTCATCAGATGCATAGAATATTCATTTGATGTGGGCCTCTGATTGCAATGCTGCAATTCAGGCAACGTGCTAAACAGCTTTTGTTGAACAAGTCCCAATAGTCCCAAAACTCTTAACCCAAATGACTGGCCATGCATCATATGGAATCCAAAATAAACAAAACTACAATGCAGCAGAAGAGAATCTGTATAGTAGTAAAATAAGCATAGAAGATACGGGATGACAAATTATTATCCTGATATTCATAAAAGAGTTGTTTAGTGTGATGCAGAAATTCTTGTTGGGATGCAGTCACATGATTCAGCATCTCTGATCCTGGTTGAATCTTGGTTCTCTCTCTGACATCTGATATGAGGTAGCCTTCATATTAATTTTGCATGATACAAGTGATGCAAAATAAATTGCTGGTGATTTGTAGAAGGGAGATATCCCAAAGATTCATTCAATCTAAGCTATGGTTAGCACCAGCCATGGTGTGCTAATGATCCTATGGTGTGAATTTTTTTAGACAAAATATTTTTGATCTATTCCAACATAGATCAGCAATTATGTTTTGTTCCTGGCATTTAAAAATCTGCTTTTAAGAATTCCCACAGTCAGATGTTATAGTGAAATGTAGTTAATTTAAAAATGAAAGTTAATACTTGGGTTATTTTATCCTAGCACATGAATATATCTATCTATATATAAAAAAAGAGCCACGTGGAAAAAGAACACTTGAAACCAAGGTTCATCCAGGAATGATAAAGAATTATTTCTTAAGTTTAAATATAGGCTGATCATATTATAAATGCAAAGGGCTACATAAAAGCAAGGAAGGAAAATTAGACAGAAAAATCAAGCTACTACAGTAGCCCAGTTATAGTTTAAATTAATCTCTGTATTGCATTACTTAATTAGAACAGAAATCCCCAAAACAGATGTGCAATTACATAATAAATCTACAACAGTTCAGACACAGTTTAGTTTAATCTATTGCAAAGAAAAGCTGTTTTGCTTTTGTTATTCTTTGCATGGTCCTAAAATCTCACCCAAGCCACGAAAATAGGTGGCATTTAGCCAATGTTCGATTTATTCAAATATGGAAGACTGAATAAAACTGGTACAAAAGCATGTCCTCCAAGTACTTAAGAGCACTGGTAAACCAGCATTTGCCGTCATTTATTGCTACACGAACATTGCCAGTAAAAGATTTGGCATCTTTTGAATGAAAGTCAATTCCCAACATTATGCACGTTTGCTTAGATTAAATTTCCTGACTGTTTTAAAAAATAGACTTTCTGGAATTTTGAACAGTTAATAGTTTTTTTTTTTCTTTCCAGTTTATCTTATATGAGCAAATATTGTTTCAATGACACAGTATTGTGATACCCGATTCAGCAAAGAAGACTAAAAATTAGTTGAGATTATCTTATGGAAAAAGGTTTCCAATGTGAATTTAAACAAGCTTTTCCCAACTTAGAACCCTTCATGTTATAGATTACAAATGAACAAAGGTAAGTCAGGCTCGCATTGAGTGGCATCAGATTAAGAATCACCAAGACCACCAATATCTACATTTTGCACCATATTTCTGCAGATATTGATACATCTTTGATGTCATATATCCTCTATAAATAGAAAAGAAGCCCATTGCTATTCAAAATATGATTTCTCCTTTTTCCAAGCCAACAAGCATGCACATTTCATGGTGTAAAAGGGATCTGTCAGTCGGGGTATACAAGGAAGATACAATTTTGCACAGCTGCTCTATTTGTTATGACATTCCCCACACTGTGCATAAAGTAGGCATATCATTTTAAGAAAAATATATCAGATTCACGTGCAGATTCTGCTAATTTAGCAACACAATGTACATTTCAGAAATGTGATGTAGTGTTCCTGAAGCCTACAAGACTAAAAATGCAGGCAGATGCAGGCAGAGAAATTCTCCATTTTGAGCCAAATGTCCTAAGAGGCCCAGTTTTAGAGATCCACCTGCAAAACAATAATTGGACTGTAGGGTAGTCCTCACAGTCGTCATGTAGACTTCTTAGGAGAACCTAAGAAGGTTCTAGCCTTTCCTACACCTGTATATAGTGAATTCATGATTCAACTTTCAGTTCCACCAAAGTGTAGGCCAGCAGTCCTCACTAAAAAGAAACTACCACTAATGGGAAAACCCACAATTTGGTCAACCTCAGCCTCTCAGCTCACGCCCATCCCCATCTCAATCGGAAAGAGATAATTTTAGCAGCATGTTCAGTGGTGGATTTTAACTGTGCAGTCTGGAATAGAGAGAGTTTTTCAGCAAAAGTCACCTCAAATCACTCTCAATGATCAAACTGCCATTTCCAAGGCCTTCACTCCAAAACAAAAAACCCTATACAAAACAACAATATTTTTTCCACCAGGACTTGGAGAGGTTTTTCATTTTGTCCGGAGTCCTGTTTTTGGATTTCTTTGGCTGTTGCTGAGTATCCGAGTAGTGAATGCCAGCCACAATGGCTGCATCAAAGACTTCTTTGAGGTTTTTCTGAGTCAAAGCGGAGCACTCGATGTAAGAGGCGGCTTTTATTTCCTCGGCACAGAGCCTTGCGGCCTCCTCCGCCACAGGCTTCTCTTTGCATTTGTCAAGCTCAATTAGTACTTTGACATCTTCCCGGAGGTCCGATTGGGTCCCGACGAGAATAATCGGGGCCTTGGGGCAGTGACATCGGATTTCAGGGACCCATTTCTCAATCACATTCTGGAAAGATGAAGGGCTCACTACACTGAAGCACAGCAAAAAGATGTCTGTGTTGGTGTAGCACAGTGGGCGGAGCTTGTCAAATTCATCCTGTGCAAAAATAAAAGTAATGTGAATAGTAACTTCATAGTAACAAAAGGACCTTTCTATGTTCCCTAAAAGCAATGTGCATCATAGAAAGTGGTGGTTTTCCTTATTGAGATAACAAAACCATTCTTATCAGCTACTAAATGGGCATACAACAAGTTCTATAAAAAGAACAACCATAATTGTTTTGCAGAGCAGGGTTATTCCCACCAACTGTACCAAGGTGGCATGTAGCAAGGAACCAGTTGTCTGAATGCTACCTCAGAGAGAAGGAAAGAAGACATGGAGGGCAAAAGTTCCTGAACAAAGAAAACTAACAACTGTAGAAGAAATTAGAACTCTCCTCCTTGAAGCAATTACATTTTTGTTGTTTTGTTGTTTTATATTATATTATTTAGTTGTGCACTGTTTTAAATTATTTAGTTGTGGATTGTAGCACAACTACTTGGCCAAACCATAAATAGACTGTTCCATATGGTTCCACAATACAGAAGTGAGCATACAGCCAGTACCATCATTCACCATCAACATTAGCTTGCAACCGTATTTGAAAAACAGAATTGATTCAAGGGATTGGCTTTGCTATGATGCAATCTTCGTTCATTCATTTCAAAGAGGCAGCCTTCTCACAAAAGACAGGAACTATTGTTGATGTTGGAAGAACAGAAATTATAGGTGGTTCTCATTATCTGTGGGGCCATTACCCATGGTTTGCATATCTATAGTTGTTAGGTGTAAGTTTCACCTCCTGGGTTTTGCCTTGCTCTTTGCTACTTTATGCACATGCAAAATTGGGGGGGGGGAGGCCAGGTTTTGACACATGCATAAAGTATTTATTAAGGTCTTGTGATCATGAGGTGGGGATGGAACTCCCCTCCCAGACTCCAGGGTAACCTGTGTACAACATGGATTGAATACCTATATGAATTAGAGAAAATGGAAGAACTGAAGACCTTCATGAAGTGAAGAACCATAAAGTATTAAAGTATTAAAAATAATTCAATCAAAAACCAACACTGCCATATGTGGTCTTCTTCATTTGAAGAAGGCTTGCCTAACATTTCTCAGGAATCAAAATCATAATACTGCCATAAACTGCCTATGCAAATGGAGAAATTCAATTCAGGGCTAGATCAAATCTAACATACTAGCTACAACTTAGCAAACAGTATTTGTGAGTGTGTGTGTTTGCATGTCTCTGTGTGTACACACATACATACATACATATATATAATTCCATGGCACAGAATTTGTACATGAGGTATTGTCTATGCTTTTGTTTGCTTTCTTTTTAATAGCTCCTTTGCTGCATTTACTTACTAATGGGCCAGTTTAGCTTTTTATACCATTCTATAACTAGTCTGATAAATGGTGGCAGCTGGAGAAGCAGAGAATGAGTAATTACACACACCCCAAATTTTTCTTTAGCTTAAATCTGTTATCTTAAACTACATAATATTTATAAATTAATTAGATTTATCAGAATAGCATGTGGTTTTCTATTATGATCCATTGGCATGGGATTTATTCAGTAGGGTCCCTTCCATTGTCCTTCTTCTAAAGCAGGGATGGGGAATTAAGGATCTTTTATGACTTGTGGACTTCAACTCCCAGAATTCCTGGCTGGCTCTGGAATTCTGGGAATTGACATCCACAAGTCATAAAGGGGCCATAGTTCCCCACCTCTGCTCTAGAGCTTTGGAGGTAGCAAACTGAATACCTGCATACATAAATCAAATAAACAAATTGAATAAATCAAAATCCTGGATTTTAAATTGACTTTAGAAACATCTTCCTCGAAATACAACTGCTAAGATTGCATTTCACATCGAGCCATTGTTTTAATGCTGGTTTTTTTTTTTTTTGACAAACCACAAGGGACTGCTTCTTTTATACAGTAATAAGCTCAGGTTTAAAACCATGGGACTTACCCACACTCTGATAAAATTACAGTTTAACATAAAATTTGAACCCAGCCAAAATGAATTTTGTTTCTGGTGAAGTATTGGCTCATGATTAGTGATCCAAACCTTGGATGACTTTAATTTTTACTGTGACAAGGTGCACTTATTGCCACTGTAATTGGGTCTGTCCATCTTGCTGCTGGTTGTCAACTTCTCCTTAGACCAGGGGTAGGCAACCTTGGCTCTTTTATGACTCATGGACTTCAACTCCCAGAATTCTTGAGTCGGAGTTGAAGTCCATGAGTCATAAAAGAGCCAAGGTTGCCTACCCCTGCCTTAGACCAAAAGTTCCCCTACCCCCACCCCCAGGATCATGTGGCTCCTTTAAAGAAGCACCAACAAAGCATGCATGCCCAAACCTAATCTGAAGCATCTTTTGTATTCAACGAACAACACTCTTCCACCAGTCTGCCTTTACATCTCTTTCACTTCTCTGAGCAGGTGAAATTTGTTTGTTTGTTTGTTCATTCTTACTGAATATTGAAGGGTTTTGCTAATCCAAAAATCATGCTGAAGAAATCATTAGATAATACAATAGCCTGCTTTAGATTAATATTTATTATTGCCTTCTATTGCAACAATCTGAACTAAAAATAACCCCTTATGGTCTCCTTCCCCAACTTCCTAGTTCAATACAATGAACGTTGTCCTGTGCTCCATTTTGGAACTCTTTACACAATACTCTTTTGAAAAAGCTTTTATTGTTAGATCTTGGAAAAAAGATTCTTGGAAAAAAGAGAGATCTCGAAGTGAAAAGGGAACAGCTTGATAATTATACAAGTTCCAAGAGCTAAAGTCAAGGAAAGTAAACAGAGGAAAATATTAACATGGCAACAATGGCCTCCTGAAGAGGTAGGATTTGTCTCTTGTGCTGGTATTTTAATTAAAATCCAGCAATGTTTGTCAGAGGGCCTCAAATTAACACATGCAAAGAGTAAACAAACACGCTCTGAAATATCCCTCTGGTGCCAACATTTTGTCGCCAAACGTATCAATTTACAAAGGAGGTTTTGGTGGTTTGAAGTTCATATTTGGAAAAAAATACAGATGTACAGCCCCCATTTCCTTGAATTCATCTGCGGGGGTACTTGCAAAAGAAAATTGAGGTCTAAGAGGCAAGATTTCATTATCTCACTTATTTGACAGATGTAACACCCCTCAAGAACACAGAACAAAACAAAGCACTCATCTCTTTGCTAAGGGATCATGCATGTGGGATGCCGTATGGCAGCTATGTGTACCTACACGTTTTGCTGCTCTAAATAATTGCATAATTAGAAATCATGTCATGCATCTTATAGCTCAGGGGAATAATTGTAAATTTACACAACCCAGGAGTAAATGGAGAGGTCAGGGCAAGGTAGAAATGTGAAAGCCCCTAGACAATCGAAGGCTCTTGTCTCATCCCTTATCATCATCAAACACACTACAGAAACAGCCTTGCTTGAAAAAAAAATGGCATTAGCATCCATAGTTCCAAGAGGCTTTCTAAAACCCAGGGGGAAAAGGTTACCAGGGCCTACAGCTGATGCTTCCTCTGACTTGATTATCTGACGTCAATCAGAAGTAGTAAAATAAGTGTTATTTCTTACAACGTATATCTCCAACTTGAACCATCCCTGAAAACTTCATCAAAACCATAATACAATCCAGTCTGCACAATTTAAAACTCAACACAATGACTCCAAACCTTACAGAATAACAGCATTTTAACTGCCTTTCTTTAGAAATATGGGGGGGGGGTAGCCTCAAGTGAGGATGTCCCTCTGGGCAGGGACAGTGACTGACAAAACCTGTTCTTTCGGTGCTGTCTCTCTCCTACCCCTTCCTTTGAACTATACTCAGAAACTTATTGGCTGCCCAGAATCACTTTGCAGAGTGAGATGGGCAGCATGTAAATTTAATAAATAAATAAAATAAAAATAAATTGGAAATGAATGCAGTGCCTTATTATTATTATTATTGTGCTCAAGTGGTTCTTATGTGTTCTTATGTGTCACCAGCTGTGCAGCAGCAGTTTCCAAGTAATCCTGAAAGGGAGTCTGGGTAAAGCACTTTGCACTAATCCTATCTTGAAATAAGAGTATTGAGCCCCTGATCTTGCAGACTTCTTCTATTAAAAGCAAAGGGATGGTTTGATAAGAAAATAGGAAGCACATACAGCGGGCAAGATTTAGGGACAAAACCCAAGGTTCTACTCTATAGAGTTAGCTTGTGCTTTGAAGTCATATATAAAAGTCAGTTTGATATAACGGTTAGAGCATTAGGCACTAGCTATTGGGAGCCTGTTTTCTGGCTCTCTACCAGGGTGACTTTGGGTCAGTCACTCTCTTTCAGCTCAAGAATGAAAGCAGTGACAACCCAATTCTGAAAACCTTGCCAAGAAAACAGCAGGAACTTCTTGAGGCAGTTGCCAGGAATTAAACCTTCTTCTAAGAATGGAGAGAGAGAGAGAGAGAGAGGGAGGGAGGGAGGGAGGGAGGGAGGGAGAGAGAGATCGAGAGAGATCTCCATTACTGCTGATGGACATAAGTTTCCAAGACAGAGGAGCACAATCTAGCCCCCAAGGCTTGACTGGACCTAAGAGACCTCCAAAATTTGTTACTGAACTCTAATATGTCATGTACCAGAAGAGGAAAATGTTTTAATACATGACCAGAGGGATATCACAATCACTTTTAATTCTAATTGAAATGACCTCAGCTTAAGGTTTCTGTCCTGTTCTTGTCCACTTTTTAAATCTGAAAGCTAATGTAGCCTTCAGCCTAGAAAAATGTTATGCAATCCTGCTATAAATCCAGTGTACCAATGCCCATATCCCACAAGGAACAAAAAAAGCTTTTTCTACGGATTCTGAATGGTAAATAGGCTGCCAGATATAAATATGGCCAGATATATGCCCACAAGTACAAGTTCATTCTCTTGCACGCTTTCTTTCTTTCCATTGTACATATACATATCCACATGCCACACACTTTCTTTCACATATATGACACTCTTGCAAACAAATGTTTGCCATATCCTGTTCAGGGACTGTCACTGTCCTGGTAACAAAGAATCCATTATAATCTTGGGCCCTCAGGGTAACAAAAGAGCCACTTCCCAGCCATGGCTCAGGGGGGGATGTAGGCTCCTGGGCTCCTCATGTCACCCTGGGAAACCGTCTGGGATAGAGTGGCACTGCTCCCAGGCTATCACCACGGCAACCCAAGTGTCCAGCCAAAGGCAGCAGGGGAAGGTTCAGAAAAGCAGGCCATGAGGTGGGCAAAAGGGAGCCAGTTCCTTAATGGCAGCTGTCAGAAGGTGGAAAAGGGCAAATCCAACATGGGAAATCAAGGGAAGCCCCTTCCCCCAAGGTTAAGGACTTCTGAGGATTTAAGGAGGTGGAATCTTCTAAAAGAAGTCTAAGGATGATTTTTCCATCACAGATTCGCAGACGTGTGCTGATATACATATGTGACACACACATATACTCACATACACACAGCAGGAAAACCGCTGTGTCAATTACGTAAGCAGCTTTACTGACCTGCCCGGCTGTGTCACAGAGCTGAAGCCTCACTGGTCGGCCATCTACAGACACGACAGCTGAAATGGAAGGAAGAGGAGAGTCAGAAAAACTTGTAACTGTGAATTAAGGATTACCTCTGTCCTCACATTAATCATTTACCTTTGGGTCAGTTTGTGGTTAACAGCCACAAGTCAGCTTCTTCTCCCCAGCCTCCCCCCTATTCTCAACAATTCCTGGGTTTACACAAGCCCTTTAGGGCTTCCGGCTTTCGTTACAAAGCAGAACATTGTGACCAAAAGACATTTGCCTCATACAAAGAGAGTTGTCCCAAACACAAATGAGGATTTTGCCCCGCAAACATCCTCTAAACATGCTTGAAGATTGATTTTTTTGGGGGGAGGGCCAGGCTCTGCTTTAAAAGCATATAGACTAGGGAATCCTTCCCCACTGCTTTAAATCACAAAGAAGACAATACAAATATTTACATATGTAAATGGAGAAATTGTCTCTTCTTATTCTGTTTCTTCCTTGTGGATTAGGTTGAAGTCTGTTTCCCCCCCCCACACACACACACACCCATTATACAAGGTAAAACCCCTCTCTGAGGGAGATGGACAATTAAGAAATATGATTAATTGATAATAAATAAATAAATGTTGCTTTTGATTAAACACTAGAGATAACCTTTATTTTCATTACTTTATTGTCACTACTCTATCAATCTGCAACACTGATAGCAAAATTGTGCCCTTCAGGTATTTAGAACACCAGTTTACTATAAGCATAAGACAATAAATGTGAAGTCTCAAAAACTGTACAAAAATCAAATATTTCATTGGTTATTATAACCAATAATAGAAACAATAGCAAACTATATACACTAGTGATTATACAATATTTTAAAAAAAAATCAAATACACTACAGTGATTAAAACAAACATTTAAAAAAATGAATACAAAAGGCAAATCTTCCATTGTAGAACCCACAAGTTTGCAAAACCCAGATAAGCTTATTTGGGAGTCAATTTCGCTAAATTCAAGGGAACACATTTTGAAGTAAACTTAGATTGGCTTACAGGTCTTGCAGAAATAGGACAATTTAGAGAGAGATAATCAACTCATATTTTGTATTAAAAGAAAAATCCTTGCATTTTGACATCAGGTTAATGCAAGAGTGTGTGTCCTGTAATGCTGGCTGGAAAAACATGTTCTTGCACCCAATGAAATTCACACAAAACTCCCACAGTTGGAGCCCTGTGTTTACTGTTCAGTGTTTGCTTTCAAGCACATAAAAACTCTTCAAACCTTACAGAAAAGATTCAACTAATATAGAAGGAACCATCTTTTTGGGGAAAAGTCAAGTAACAATGAATATCTTCTTCCAAAGAGAAGCATGATGAGCCACTGTTTTTTAGCTTAGACAGAGTTTTTCCCCCATGCCATCACTCTACTAAACAACTACGGTAATTCCCACAACATTGTCAAATTACCCAGTAGGGCTGTATTACTATTATCCTTCTCATATTTCCTATTATTTCCTTATCTTCTTATGACTATAACTTTGTTGCTTGTATCTTACAATTTATATTATTTAGTATTCTAGTATGATTTATGTTGATTGCTTATTTAGTGTCCTCTGACTATCACTGAATGTTGTATCTTATGATTTATGATGAATGTATTTTATGATGATTATGATCACGATTTATCACTTATTGCTTGTATATACACGGAGAGCTTATGCACCGGAGACAAATTCCTTGTGTGTCCAATCACACTTGGCCAATAAAGAATTCTAATTCAGAGCACCACCCTTTTCTTAAATATTAGGGAAGTTGTCAGGAAGAATGTAATTACAAACAATCACAAAGTGCACAGCAGAAAGCTCTCTCTCTCCACAATGGTTTTCAAGAAAAATAAAAGGAAGTCTGAAGTAACCTGCTGGGAAGAAGGATGAGTAGGAGTTACCCTCTATCTTAAGGGATAAGGATTATGAGTGAGCCCAAAGGATTTCCAAAGCAAGAGAGAAGTGCAATATTGTAGAAAATAAGGAATAAGAAATCCAAGGCTAGAGAACAGAGTGTAACTTCCCTGACCCTGAGATAACAGAATAACACAGTTGGAAAGTCTAATGCAACTTCCTTGCTATATAAATAGATAAACCAAACTATGCCAACACCCCAAAATTACTAAGCTCTATATGCTGTATCTCACAGCATTCCCTCCAGTAAGACTTAGCAACATTCCTAAAGATTCTGATTTTAATGCAGTTAACAAGTTACTAGTCCTCATCACCAGGACTACTGGAAAAATATGGCAGAGAAGGATCACATATTCCAAAATGAACTAAACAAAAAGAACACTACATTTTTTAAAAATGCTACAGGGACAATAAGTTCCCTGAATGCATCGAAGCTTCCCAATAAAACGTAGGAAACATAGTGCTACCCTTATAGTTTTAGGGATATACACCTTGCAACAAATAAAAGATGCTCAGGATTTAACACAGTATTTTATATGAATAACAACAAGAGCTCGCTACACAACTGGGTATGGAAAACTAGCCGCATGTGTTCGACTCTTTTTAACTACTGGATCGACCACAGTAAAGGTCAGAAATGGGCTTGCCCGCCTTAAGGGAGAAGGAAGGCACCGTCTGCACATTCTTCCTTCTCACAAAAAGGTTGGGCAAGCGATATCGGAGCTGCTTTGCACGCTGATGTCTTCCTCAGTCACAGAGATTGGGTTGTATTTTCCCCCATTACCCCCCAAGGGATTTTACGAGGTAATTTACGATTGACCCCGCCCCAATCGCAATTGGGGATCGATACGTTTCGTTGGTCTGCAAGCCCTTCTTCCCAGCACTCCCCTCCGCTAGCAAATAGCGATCAGGCCAGGCCAACCTTCGCTTCCACGCGCACCTACTTCAGTCAGCGGGCACCGCCCCTTCCCAAGTTGGAAGATTCAAAATCCACAAGAGGAGACGCCGCCGAGTCAATAGGGCGAGGGATCCCCGGACCCTGGACACCAATGAGGTCGGAAGTGACCAGAGGGGGGGGGCTCTCCCATATAGGAACGGAGAGCCGATAAGGTGCATTAAATGCTTCCATGAAAACGCACCAGGAACCGTCCCGTCCCAACCGGCTGATTACCTGAAAAATTGTCGAAGGCGGTAGGGATGTATTCCGTAGGGTAGCCGTTGGTGGTGTAACTCACCACCAGGCTGGTTTTACCCACCGCGCCGTCTCCCACCAGCACACACTTGATGCTGCGCCGAGGCTCCGTTCCGATCGCTCCGGCCCCTCCGCTAGCTCCAGCCCGGCAGCGGCTCCCCAAGGCAGCCCCCAGCGCCGCCGCTCGGCTGCTGCGGACCCGACGCGGAGGCACCGGAGGCACTTCGCAGCCGCCCGGCAGCGGCTTGCTGATGTAGCCGGTTTCTCCTTCTTGCTGCGGCGGCATCCGCCCGGCTCCGGTGCGGGAGACCCCCAAAGACAATGAGATCCGCCGAGCCACAGCCGCGGAAGGCAGCGGCGAGGGGCGCCGGGAAGCAATCCGGGCAGGGGGACCCGCCTGCTGGAGAAGAGCTTTTCCAGATCCGAGCGCCGAGCTTCCTTCTTCCCGATCTCTGCCGCTCCGGCACTTCAGAAGACGTGCGACCTCGCTCCTTCAGCAGCAGCAGCAGCAGCAGCAGCAGCCGTCTTTGCTCGCGGGAAGACTACAGCAGCCAAGCGCTCGATCTGCCGCCAGATGACATAATCCCGAAGAAGACTGAGAAAACGAGCCAAAGTGGGCGGGGCAGCCTGGGACGGGCGGAGCTTGGTGAAGAGGGATTTGCCGGCAGGGGGCGCTCCACCACAGCCAGGGCGAAAGCGCGAAGAAGAGGCGACGTTGCTGGCCGGCGTGGAATCAATCTCGGAGTATAATCTGGCGCTTTCCATTGGCCAATCTGCTTCTTTTCGAACGCTGACGACAATTGGGTATCTCATTTGGCTGGACATTGGAGCGAGGCCACGTAAACCACGCCGCCTGCGGAGGCGTAGCACGATCAGTTCGTTCCAGTCTTTAAAAAAACTCTTCCCTTCGTTTCTTAAAACTTAATTTTCTTTCCACAGTCGTTTCTTCAATCTTGTCGGGCCCCTTTGCTTTTATTTCCCATTTTCCCGTAGTTCTTTTTGCACGTGTCTTCCTTCTCTCTTCTGCCAGAACAATTGCATTTTTTTTTTCCCGGAAAGGTAATCGAAATAAGATCGTTGTTATAAAATCAAACTTAGAACACGTTAGTGATGCTTATTACGTGATTAGGACTCAAATACCTTAAACTTTCTAATATAATAAAATGTATTTGGGAGTTTTTCAGCCTGATGTACTCAAGCATATTTTCAAAGAAATGGTATAAATCCCATCGAGGTTACTCTTCTGGCTACCGATCTGGAGCACCTGTTGTACAGTGCAATTGAGAATTGAGATATTCAAGGATAGACACACTGTAGTGTGCAGAAGTGTAATTGTGTGTGTGTGTGTGTGTGTGTCTTATAGTAATAGGCAACCTAATAGGCAACCGGCAACCCTAGCCATCTGATAATATGTTAAATAATCCAAGAGCAAAGATGTCTGAATATCAATACTTCATTCTCACCTGTTTCCAGCTCTTTAAGACTTTGCATTTTTAAAATTAAAGATATCCACATTGCTACTGATTGGAGCTCAATTCTGGCAACTATATGGATGCCACCATGCAGTTTTCTTGGCAATAATGCCAAACTCATTTGCCATTCCCTTCTTCCAGTATATTTTTCATGTTTTCAGTCTGGCCTAAAATGGGACTTCCACATAAAAAGCCCTTCCAGATGTGGGAGGTTACAATTCCCATTGTTTGCTGCCAATGTCCAAATCTTGAATAAAGAATTAATGGAATAAGTGGACGTGATTATCGCCAGATTACTGCCAGATAGACTATAGGAAAATGACAAAAAGATTGCAATAGAATTGTTTCCAAATATTGGACATTGGGGCTGCTGCGGTCTACCAATTTTATAATTAGTAGAGAGGTGTGTCTCAGATGATGCTATCTCTTCTCTGAGACTCTAGCTGATGTAAAAGTTTTACTGTCTAAGAAAACAAACGAATAATATTCTGTCTTGCTGCTTTTGGAAACTCATCATTTTGGACCTCTACGTGCTTATTTTGGTGACACTTTTGCTGACTGTTTCATCTGCCATGAACTCGGATGCCAAGAATTTTGGTGTTCATACTGGGAATTATGCAAACGGCACGAATGACATAAAGTACATCACATTTGGTGACAAAAGACAGTTTTATAACTCCCTCATTATTCCCATTACAGCATCTTTGTCAATGGGGGAAAATCCACCACCACAGAGAAAGATCATTCATATAGAAAAGGTTAGCTGATCTTTTAGTCAGATAAATATTTTTGAGAATCCTATTGCGTAGAAGCAAAAATAACTGCAGAGATAAAATTACTTAATGAAATGACTGTGTACTATGGGCAAAATGCTCTGTGTCCATTTTAAGCATGTAGTCCCAACTTCGGTTTAAGAAACATGAATATTCAAGTTGTTCTTAAATGTTCAAAGTTGCTTTATCTTTCTGTGGCCAGTATTGAACTGTAAAATGTGTCTTTCAGAGTACAGTACACTAGGCTTTTGTTTAACAGGATGATCAACTAGCTGTTGTGCAACACTCCCAGTACAGTATCAAGTTAAATCATTTTTTTGCTATGGCGAAATTAAAAAGACTTTGTTGGCGATGTGACATTTCTGTATTGTACAACGAAAGGCCTGTTTATGTGTAAGATCTATAGATTTCTTTCTGAAGATTTCTGAATACTTTCCTTGAACCTTTGGTATGAACAATACATAAAAAGAAAGAAATGTAATTCATGTTTAGGGACAGAAGCCAGCAAACAAAGTTCAGATCCTAGGATCAGGTCCAAGTATACAGGTAACACCAAAAGAGTTTTTTAGATTCAGGTTATGGACTAGGATTTATACTTGATCTCGCTTCTAATGTCAGGTATGACAAAACTAGATTGTTCCACTGCTTATGTGGCAAGCACAAATTAGATATGAATTGCAGTCAAAGTAGAACTCATTATTCACATATTAGTTTGTAATATCCTGCCTGTAGAACATCTTGTGAGGTGTTAGCATAGATCCCTTCCCCATCTTTTTCACTAAGATTATATCACAAAATTTTAGTATTTGTTGGAATCCCTGTGTCTGAATTTTTTCCCCCTGAGGACACATTGTACTAAGAACTTGCAGCTTTTAAGATTCTGAATTAGGAATTTTAATATATTTATATTTATTTAAATTATTAATTACTTGCCTTAATGACTAATACAAAAACTACAATAATATTTCTTCTTTCAAAACTAGTGACATTCGTCATTTATAATGAACAAAAAACAGGACAAATTTGTAAAAATAGCATGTGTTGGCATGACTGTATCTTTGGTGATGTCAAGGTAACAAAATCAATAACCAGATAAAAAGATACATCATATATTTTGTGGACTGTGCTTCTCAAGATTAACTTCTGAATTTTAGAAATGCTTTGTTGTGATGGAATTTATGGGTTATAAGCTGTTCAGTATTTGGTTTATTGATTCAGAATCAAACAGACTTTTGGGGTTTATACAGTTTAATTAAATACGCTTGCTTGAATCACAATTTTCTATTATATTCTTGACTTTGCATCCAAAAGAACCCATAGGAACACAACTACTGAAATGCATTCCCCTTTCAAGTCTTGTTGTGTTGCTTTCTTTTGGGAGGGGTGAGCAAGGAATATACCGAGAGTATATATTCCCAGCAAAGTGTGAAGATCACTTCAGCTGCCGAGCTGAAGCAAGCAGACACCTATAGCAGTAATATTAAGGTGACCAACCGTCCTCCTTTAGGGAGGACAGTCCTCCTTTTATAAGTTCTGTCCTCTCTCAAAAGATGTCCTCCTATATGTCCTCCTTTTTGATATTTGAAGACTAATCTGTAAATCTCCGTATTCGATCGATGCCGATCCGATCCGTTGCGTGTGATGTGATGTATTTGTATTTGACATGACAATTCATCAAGGCTCGGTACAGTATGGTGAGACGCGATTATGAGACGCCTATGCTCTGCACAGGAGAATTGCTTTGAGAGAGTGTGCCGCGCGCAAGAGTGCACCGCACGCAAGTGGCTTTGTTTACTTCTTACCGAAACATGACACGGCACACATGCACGCATTAGATCACTTTTTTTGCTTCAATTTATTTGTGTCTTCCTTCTCATTGTAAAAAAGTTGATCACCTTAGTAGTATAAGATATTGGAGACAAATTATAACTTAGTGACAATGGTGAAAACATAATTTCATGCTGTGCAGGAGGAAGGATTGAAAAACCACAAAGATATTTTACCCAGAAAATTCCATGAATAATGACCTAGCTCTCTTGAAAAAAGGAAAAATCTGCAATTATAAAATCATAGTGTTACCCTCCAACTCAAATATCCAAATAAAGTGCAGGATTACTTTCATTTGTGAAAAGCTTACTGGTTTATTGAATACATGGCATGGTACAGGTGAAGGAAAACTAACTCTAAAATCCCAAGGCATCTAACCATAATATATAACAAGGACATTCCCAGCCAAATCACCCCAGATGTTCATATAGCTCATATAAACAAATTCTCTTTGTTATGAGAACGTCTGCTAGCTTCTTCACACCTGCTAAAATGTCCTTGAAAAGTTTCCAAACAGCCTTCTCTCATCAAATGTCTGAAGAACTGGAGAGGTTACATTTCTCTAACTAACCCAGTCAAAGCATCATTTTCTCCACCTTACTCTAATGGCAAGATAAAAACAAAGAGGCACATAGCTGCCAAATTTTTACTCTTGACACATACAACTCCCTGCCCAAGGCAGGAGCCCTTATGCCACCCTGAACAAATGGTTGTCCAATCTTTTCTTGAAAACCTCCAGTGATGGAGCACCCACAGTGCCAGGAGGCAAGCAGTTCTTTGTTTAATTGTTCTCAGTCAGGAAATTCCTCATTTTCAGCAGTGAGTTAGACAGCCTCAGTTACAGTACATAGATGCTGTTAATAGTATTATATAGTGAACCAAAGTTACTCTTGCCGTAACTCTGTTATAGTAAAATAAACACTTTGATTTTTGTTTCAATTTAAGCAATCAGCACTTTTATTTATTTATTTCAGTTTAAACAATCAGCTTATGTAGAGATACTGATCCTCTAAAAATGTATATACAACATAAGCTTTTGTTTTTAGTTTTCTGCTTTCTTAATGCCTCCTGCAATTAATCTGCTATTTATAGAACTCATAATAAAAATTTCCAAGCAAATAGCTCTCCCCCCCCACACTAAGATGCCATGGTGTTGGGCACTGATCTCTTAAGCCCTATTTGTCTGGCATTGTGGCTATTTCACTTAACGTGTAAACATCATCAACTCCTTGATTATTGCTGAATTTTTATCATTCATTTACATAAAACAGATCCATAGTTAAAGTAACCTTTATGAACATTGCTGATAACATTGCTGAAAAAAAGTGGCAAAATGCAAATGAGTTGATCATATTTTTGTTGTTATCAACATCTCACCTTTATTTTCTCACAGAAGTCAAACTGGCATATAAAAAACTCTGAGATGTACTTCTCTATCTAGGCAATTCAGGATGCAATTTAATGTTACATCCATAAATCTTATTTCTCTTCCCAAATCTGTATTTCAGTCATATGAATATTAAACCAAAATGATCGATTATGGCACAAGCCAAAAATATGTGTTAGTGTAATGTAGTGGAAGTACTACACTTCCAAGCATACAGATGTTGAAACCTGATCCATTTCTTAAAAATCCTTTAAGGTGGGCATCCAATAAATATGGAAAAGAATATTTTGTGCAACTAATGGCATTTACAGATCATAGAATGTGAGTTTCACATTCTTTAAAACCCTGCCCTACCGATTATGTAGCTTGTAGCTTTACAAGACGTTGCAGCTCTGGAAAAAGTCCTCCACAGTATTGGTATCAACACTGGTATAAATGGAGATGGGAAAGGGAGGTCAGAATGATGAAAGCAACATCCTAGCGCAGTGTTTCTCAACCTTGACAATTTTAAGGCATGTGGACTTCAACTCCCAGAATTCCACAGCCAAGATTGCTGGCTGTGGAATTCTGGGAGTTGAAGTCCACATGCCTTAAAATTGTCAAGGTTGAGAAACACTGTGACCTAGCGTCTCAGTGCAAGCCCCACCCCTTTTCTCTCTGGGTTATATCATCCCAAAAAGGTGGAGCTTGCAGAGTTACATGGCTTTTGACATTCTGATCTAAGTACTTCTGGTTACTTTTGTAACTGTAAATACTGTACTATGTACCCATGTTCTAGAAGAACAAGACAGAGAAGGATCAGGTCAAGAAGAAAGCAGAACGAAAAACAAGGTGCATCTAAAAAGGTCAGATCACAAGCTAGTGACCTATTAGGATCAATTTGGTCAAGAAGGGAATTATTCCCATAATTACGAAAAAGAGAATGAATATTTAATATTACATGTATTGACAGCGGCGAGAATAGTATTTGCCCAATTTTGGAAAAATGAAAATTTACCACTTGACCAGATTATAATTACTAAAATTCTAGAATGCGCTGAAATGGATAGATTAACTTTAGAGATTAAAGAGAAAGAAGACTTGATCTATTTTAAAACATGGGAAAATTTTATCAATGGTTAGCAATACGACAAAACGAAAAAAGATTTTGAAACCAAATAGGATGAATATTTTCCAATTAAGCTTCTTTTTTAGCTTATGAATATTACTATCACCAGTGATTTGAAGCATTAGTGATTATAATTAATTAGTACTTTATTAATTATTGTTATTTAGTAAGATGAATGATATGTATTTACTAACCTTTATTTTTATGATTATTGTTAACACAGTTGTAACTGTTTAGTATTATACTAGTTATGCTTACTTAATATTTACACCCGGACGGTAATCTGTTTGCTAAAGCGTGGAATTTCTGTTGGGGGCAGCCCCATTATTGTACCCCCCCTTACCTTATCCCTAACCTCTTATCTTTACCTTTTTCCATACCCGTACCAATCCCATTCCTTTCCCACCCTTATAAAACCTAATAAAATACTTTATAAAAAAAAAAAGAAGAGAAGACTGTAGCTCTCCTCTTTTTTTTTTAGATTAAGCATTTCAAGCATTTAGGAGTGTCTGTTTTTGTAATTATTCCATTATATTCACAACAATGATCTTAAAAGTATACTAATGTTTGAAAAACAGCAAGAAGAAAGAATAATATTGAATGCACTCCAACGCAGTTTTCAAAATTCACATTAAACCTTACCGTGATATGAAAAAGTTTGTTGCAAGAGTTTGTTATAGTGGCTGATAGGGAGAACAAGATAATAATCCTAGGCTCCTCGTAGCAATTTATCTTTACACTAAATTGGGATTAAACTAAAAATGTAAACCCAGCTAACACCAAAACTCAATTCAATAAGGCTATTCCATAAATCGGTTCAAGCACTTCTTTGTTGTGAACAAATAATTTTGCAGTTGAGTAATTAAAACGTAAGCAATGATACAAGGGGGTTTAAGAATATTGCCCCAACATACAGTTTTATCTCAATTAATTAACGAATCGCTGTATTCAAAATTTAATCCACTGTCTCCTTCATGGGCTCATGTGCAAAGGTATCATTTGAATCCAGTGAGTGATGCTTAATGGACTGATAGCTAAAATTGCCCAAATGGTTTTTGTTTACATTCTGCCAGACAAGCAGTTTATTGGATCCCATTTAAGTGTCAAATTATGAGACATTTTCTGGTTATATCCAGTTACCTTTTTTTCCTTCCTAGCATTTTTCTGCAAATGCAGGATTCACTTGAAGGGGTTTTTTTTTTTTAAATCTAGTATTGATTCATTGGTTGTGGTAGTAGTTAACCAACCAGCTTGTTTTCTGAGTCAGACATGGGGTCACCCGGCTGGCTTTCAGGCCTAAAGTGGGACTAGAACTCAGCTTCCTGGATTCCAGCCTGGTGCCTTAACTATTAGACCAAACCACTAGACCAAACCAGTTGCCTTTCTACTCAGACATAATTAACAGTCTATAGCTGAAGCTTGGGTGGCTAGCCTAGTGGGCTTGTTGACCAGAAGATTAGCAGTTTGAGACCCAAGTACTCTGGGACAGGGTGAGTTCCCTGTCTTGCCCCAGCTCCTGCCCACCTAGCAGTTCAAAAGTATGCAATTGCAAGTAGATAAATAAGTACCACTTTGGTGGGAAAGTGACAGCGTTGCGTTTGCCTCAGCATTTAGTCATGGTGACCACATGACGGCTGAAGTGCCTTTGGACAATGGTGGCTCATGTGGCTAGGAAACAGAGATGATCACTGCCGCCTAGAGTTGAACATGACTGAACAGGGGAAACCTTTACCTTTTTAGCTGAAGCATGCTTTCTAATTTAAAACATTTGCTGAAATAATAAACAGCTGAATGACCAAGTCCAAATTCAAAACAGTTGATGTCATTGGCTAATGAGTGTCTATTAAATCAAACCTGCCAACCAAGAGCCTTCCAGTCAAAAAGGGTCATGCTGATTGGCAGTTATTATCCAATTCATCTAGAGGATGCAACAAAAGACACAAATGGCTTAAATTGTAATCCTAGCCATTTTACTAAGAAAGAAATTCCCCTAGCTTCTTCTGAATAAATATATTCGTGAGATGGGTGGGAATAAACGCTACAAAATAATAGCATATAAGATTTCATATATTAACTTTTAGTGTTATAAGACTTCACATATAACTTTTTATTAGAACTTTTAAAAAGAAAGGTAGAAAAATAATACAAAGTAATATAAAGTAAGAAAGTAGAAACACGAAGTAGTTTCAGTTGAAGCCAGAACATTTTTTTTTAGGATTGACTGATAAACAGTTAAGAAAAAAAGCCATGGAACATTATTTCAATAATATCATATTTCAAGATACGATTGTGTTGAGCTTATTACATACCCAGAGATGGAATGATTTGATACTACCCACTATGGAGGAATGGTTGTTGGAATTGACAGATCTTGCTGAGATACACTAACTTCTTTGTTTAGAGAAAAGACATTACATTTTTGGTGACTGAAACTTCTTATGCACTTTTTGCATAAAAATAAAAAAAAATGTACTTGTAATTTATGGCTTTGATGATTAGACAGGCTAGATTATAGAAAGAGTATGACAACGTAATTTAGAGACAGAGATTAAAATATAATTGTACTTATAACTGCTGTGAAGAATATTGGAATCTTTCTTTGTATCTTTTTGTTTTCTATTTTTCTTTAGTTTTCTTTTCTTGCACTTTTGGCTTTTACTTTGCTTTCTTTTTCTTTTCTCTTTCTTACTTTATAAAAGCATATGAGATTTCAGATTACCTTTAAGGAGAGTATTTCACCCACATTTCCTCCTGAAAGCTTTTCATAAAATAGAAATTACGATGTGAACCTGTAAAAAAACTGCTAAAGAAAAGGATGGAATGTTCTTATACTAACCTTCTGGTTGTGTGTGTGTGTGTGTGTGTGTATGTGTGTGGTGTCACTCTTGCTGTTTTTCCCCAACTTGTTTTCTATGATACCTTCACATATACAAAACAAAAATATTATATAAAATAATTTTAATCACGTAAAAGGCTGGACAAGGTTCCAAATGTAGTCTTAACAAACCAGACATGTCCAACCTGCGACTTCTGGCTGCATTCAGTCCTGGACAACTAATAATGCAGCCCCATGTTGTAATTAAAAAAACATTAAAAAAAGGAAGATTGCTATTGATTTACATTAATTGTATATTTTATATGTGGCCCAAGACAATTCCTCTTCATTCAATGCTGCCCCAGCGAGCCAAAAGGCTGGACATCCATGACACAAATGTTCCAAGTATTGGCAGAAAGCCTCATTGTAAAGTTTCAGTGGCACAATTTGAAAGACTGCCAGAACTACAGAATAGCCATTTGGGAGTTCCTGCATTCTACATTTCAAGGTGCCAACTCCTGCTTAGTCTTGTGACTAAGAGATATAACGACTGATGGAAGCGATGTCTATCGTTACTGCATCTGTTGGATTATTGGCCATCTACCAATTGTGTTATTGTCCTTATTTACTTCAATCCTGCTTGAGCTAGAAAGCACACAGGTTTCATCTTGAGTACACAAAGGCTTAAAAAAAAGGCACAAAAAAGATGGAAGAATACTAGGTCACCAAGGAAGACACCATAAAGATAGTTCAGAATGATAAAGATGTTGTCCGGAAAGCCACATAGATACTGATCACGTTATTCTCTTTCAAGGTAAGCAATGTTATACAGAGCACAGGAAAGGGGCATGAAGTAGAAGGCCATACTGATTAAAATCATGAGGAAAGGAACATAGCTTTTTAAAAAAGGGTGGGGGGGGGAGATTGTTAAGTGCTTGCTAGCCAACAGCAATGCATGCAAATTAACTCATGCATTAGTAGTAGCAGAGTTCTTATTCATTCAGATGAAGACTATGAGTTCAATTCAGGTCTGGTGGGGGGGGGAACCTATATTTTGATATAACCACAGTGTCCCCTTGAGCATCTCATTATAGGTTGCAAGGTCTGAATCGACCTCCTTCTGCACAATACTTAAATTTTGAATATGTCCTGAGTTCAGTTCAGTATCCCAATATGTAAAGAACTTAAATGGTTACAGTTTATTTTATTTGGAATTATGGCTGGGTGGCTCTTTTCCTCATTTTTCTAATTTCCCTCTTTTCTCAAGTTCTTTCTTTTATATCAAGAAACTTAACCCAATTGTTTTTAAACTCCTCACAAATCTTTCTCACATGCAAGTCTACTTAGTTTATAGCATGTGTTTTCATGTGTGTGGAGGTCCTGTGTTTCTGGATATGAGACCATAACAATCAGAAACTGATCATTCTGGCCTTAAAAAAAAAAAAATAGACAGAAAGGACCCATGAGTTGCAGAAGTATTAAAATACTGACATAAATTAGGTATTAGCCAGAATTCAGTGACAAAAAGCTTACATATCCACTCCATAACTTTCAAAGTGTTGTTTATTGAAGCATTTAATTATCAATAACATTTCATCACTTTTCCAGATCCTATTCGGTCTGGACAGCAACAGATTGAAGGTTTTTTCTTATTAAAATTGACCTAATAAATTATATTATGCACCATTGCATTATAGCTATCTCTGTTACAATGTTATCATACTACTTCAAATATACAAAAATGATTGCTATCATGATGTCCTCTGTGTTGCAAGTTAGATGTAAATTGTGTCCACTAATTGTTGGCACATTTTACTTATTCAGCTGCTTTAGTTTAGAGGGAGAAGACTGCCACCTGCTGCACAGATCATCTATTGCTTATGTTTGATTGACCAATGGCCGGTGTTCATACATGCTAATCTATAATTAAGAGAATAATTGTTTACTGAATTAAACCCAAATTGATTGAACTGTAACCTGTAATACTGGTTGACTTTGCAAAATACTCTAAGCCAGCGATTAGCCAGTGTTTTATCTCAGCATGATACAGCCAGTGTTTTAAACCACAGCTGATTGGACAGACCAAAGATTTCCAAACAACTACTCTGGAAACTATAAGATGATGGGACAAAAGTCAAACTAGCTCAGTGCATGCCAAGACTCCCCACAGCTGATACTCAAAGCTGGTCGGCTAAGCATAGGTATCAGAGGTTGCTAGTTGTTGTGCCTTACAATTCCTAGGAACCATAATCAAGACGATTGCTGGGAGTTTAGTTCATCAGTATCTGATTTGAGACAGGCTGTCTAATTTTCTTGCATGTAGCTACTGATAATTTAGTTTATTATTAATCACCAATTTAACTATCTGCCTAATTTTATTGCATGTAGCTATTGATGATGATTCACCAATTAAATTATGAATATCAATAAGTAATCTATAGTGAGCAACTGTGGAGATCTAAGATACATGTCCTTTTAAAACAAGAATGGGTAACTTGAAACCTTCTCTAACTGTGATTGCTGAAAATTGGTGACAAGGTTTTCTGCCATTATGAGGGAAACTTAACATGGAGAATATTGATAGGCCTCCAAACGTTTCCATAAAATCCAGGAAAACCATGCAAAGAATCTTGATGCAATTTACTGTGAAATCCATGGTAACCCTAAACGTGGTCATCTGCAAACAAAGATTACCTTTAAAAAAATTAAAATAAACATTGCTCCCTACCTTCTGGTTTTTTTTAAATTTGTAAATATCAAACCTTAATTATAACAAGGTAAAATGCCTTAATTTTGATTGTTCCATAATGTTCATACCACAATACATAATGATTTATTCAGTATTATAACTATTATATAATTAAATTAAAAACTAACCAACCACAAAAGTTATCTGATTACACATTTGAAGTTTGCAATGAAGCAAATATCCTGACTTGTAACCTGTGGAAAAAGTAAACTAATATGATGGTTTGTGCCAGAATTTCTGAATGATTGTATATTAGCCAACATATCCACACATTTGCTAGGATACAGTATCCTGAACCAAATTAGAGGCAGATTTTGAAACAAACAAGAATGAATCCCCTGTATTATCAGAGATACCAACATGTTGGTAAGAATAGGACTGGTTTTTTTTGCATTTTGTATGTTGAATATGAGGATAAATATTAGAGAAGAAACTATGTTTTGAAAATCAGTCTTTGAAGTAAAGTGATATTCAAATGTTTTCTTGAATGGTTACTAACTGACCAAATAATGTCTGACCAAAAGATAAAAGCAATTATTTCAGAGGTTCAAAAATATTAGAATTAAAGCTATGCCCTACAGCAAAATACTGCATGAGATAAATATGTATCATTTTCTAGTTGTCTCCCTAAGTAGTTATGCTGATCAAATAAATAGGTAACCAATGGACATAAATGATAAATGGTTGAACACAGTTAATTTCATTCATCTGGAGGTCATAGCATTATTCGTATAAGCATTTAATGTGTCATTTCAGGCTTCAGTGCAGAACATAAGTAGTTAATAGTGTCTGACAAGGCTTGTGCCTGATCTAATTAGCAGCTGAACATTGGCATAATAATTTGTGTCACCATGATGGTGAAAATGTGGATTTAGCAATCTTAATCTCTGCATCTCACAAATTTAAGTTTATTAAGAATGCTTTCCATAAATCAATCCAAGATCCATAGCGTCAAGTCTCATCTCCAGCCCAGCATCATGGCTAATAGCACTGGATAAGCTTTTTCTCCATAAAGGCATCTATTCCTTTTATAAACCTGTCTTTAAAAAGGGTCTTTCCTATCTTTGGGGAGTGCTTATTAGCATTTTGGTGAATTGAAATTTTGTGGGCATGTTACAGGCAATTCACCAAATGGGAGGTTGGTCTTTCACAAAACAGCTGTCATAATGGACAATTATAAAATTTATTAATTAAAAAAAGGCTAACAAGGTAGCTGTCTGTTGCTGCCTTTAGGACAGCATCAATTTTACCTTTTTGTGTAGTTGGATAGGTAATCATGGTTCCTTACATAAAACATTGGATGACAGCCAACCTCCATTTTTTTCTTAAATGTTTTTAGGCCTGAATTTTTTTTTTACTCTTGTAAACATGAGTTCAAAATTGGTGCTCTGCAACATTATCAGGCTTCCTTTGGGCTTTGATTAATGAAGAGCAAGTGTCAATATTTAAAACCGTCCTCAATTCCATACTTCGTATCAAGTTCAAGTGAGTGAATATGAAGCAGACTTATATATGCCAGAGAGGTTTCTTAGATAACCTTGGGTCAATTTGTCTCAGCCCAGCTTACTTAACAGGATTGTTACTGTGGGGGAAAAGAGAAGGGGTGCAAAGTATGACAAAGTATTAAATAAAAAACCTGGACATTGGGCAGTGTTTCCTTTCATTAAGTCTGCATGCATTCTTAGGGCATGGCATAAATAAATTCCTAAATTCCAACTATTTAGTATTGTTCAGATACCCAGATCTACCCTATAGACTTCCCTCCAATTAAATTGTAGCTTCTTTGGTCTGCTGAGGCTGCTGTAAGCAAAGTCCTAAGTGTCATTCTATCTATACAAGAGGCATGAAACTGCTATAACCCTCAGCATTGGGGCCTTTCTTTTGTTGCAGCAAATAAAGTGGCAGAATTTAATTTTGTGTCCTCTGAAATGCAGGCCTATATATCTCCAGTGAATATTAGATTGGTTATGTTCAAAACATTTTTATACCCACATTCCTCTGGAGAAAGATGCAGATATTCTGCTAATAAATGTTTTTCCGTGACCGTCAGCTAGAACAGAACATGTACAATCGTCCCACATTCATATAGTTTGACTCAACTATAAACGTGAGGTAAAAATAATTTTCCCCTTGCCTCTTTTTTCTGGAGTATTTGTTTAAATGGCAAAGTCAATTCACCCAATCTCCATGCCACAATTTTAAAGGCCACAACATAGTAGTAGCAAGTCTTTAATATTTTCAACGTAGCATTTAATTTTACATTCTACTGAACATAATGTTGTTCTCGTCAACAAATTGGAGCACTTTTCTGGAGTTATTCATTCTGGCTTAGTGCTCATTAGATAATTATATTACACCAGTATATTTTGATAGGGATTCCTTCAATAGGCATTTACCTTGTTTAGCGTATTTTTTTCTTTAAAAAGAGAAACAAATCTAACCCTCTACCCATATTAATACATAATCACTGTGGGCAAAACTATGGAGTTACTACAATTTTACATGATGAATTGCCTGGGTAAATTTTTATTTTTTTTAATTCAGATAAGCCTCCATCCAATTTCTTCTTGCCGTACCCTAAATGTTCCATCCTTCACTACTTAGTTGTACGTGGGTGATTTTTCACATCATGGAATTTTCAGAGAATCAGATTTCTTAACATTGTAAAACTGTTCTCCATTTCTTTCTAGTTTCAACTGATCACTGATGACCACATAAAAGACATAATGAACTGAATAGATTACATATCTTCTCTCAAATTAACATCACTGTTTGCAATTGAAAGGATATGTGTAGATGGGTACATGAAAACTTGGATCAAGCACAACTTTTGTGGTTAGTTATAGCACTTTCCATTTCTAACTAAGAAGAGTTTCATTTTTTAAAAAGTAGATTTGGCTTCAGTGATGTCAGGAAGCACTGGCAAAACTGCAGCAAAATTCAGAAATAGTGGCAGGCTTACCTTTTTGAGACAACTATTATATTATTTGAAATTATTCTTCACCTGCTGAAAATCAAAAAGAAACAAATTTTATGCTTCAAGTAGCATTTATTATTGACAAAAATATGTGTACAATAGAAATGCTATCATTAAGAGTGCAGACCCCATGCTGAATGTTAATTTTCAAAGATTTTTTAAGCTGGATTCTTTTGAACCAAACTATTGATTGCAGCTTTTGTAGTATTTCCTCATCATCTGAGAGGGGTTTATGCAAGACTGCTTTGTTTCCTGCACTATAGCCAGCTTTAGAGGCCAATGCCCAAACTGATATGCATGTTTTGGCTTGATGAATTGTGAACAGCAAACAAGAGTTGTTTTGTTTCAGGCAGAAATGATCTTTGGGTTGGGGGGGGAGAGAGACATGCAGGAACCCTGGCACCTGAAGGGAAGGCAAATCCTGGGCCAATCAGCGAGAAAGGCAAACAAGTGCTACATGCCATTCTGGAATGTCAGTAATGGCAAAGAAGAGGGAAGTGCCAGGGAAATAGGGATAAGGGCCACTGATATATGCTCTACTAGAACACTGGAGATGGCTTAAAGGGAAAGTACTGGGAAAGGGGTGGTGCAGATCTCCCCTTTCCCTTCCTCCTATTGGCTGTTCTCAGTATGATGAGCTATGGCTCACTGGGAAGCATTGAGGGAGACGAAAGGGAAAGAGGAGTAATACATACTATAACCCTATTTGGCCCACTTGGATTTTGTGCCATCTGAAACCCAGAATAACCAAAGTATTCTGGGTTTGGGTTCTGGCTAAACTGTGGGTGATATGGAACAATTCAACAGAACACTTGGAATACAGCAGATAGTTTAAAACATTTTTCCTATTTCATGTATACCCCTACCTAATATGAAGAAATCTAGATGCATCTCATAATTTACATTCCTAAAAAGGATCAGAAGTTTTTTCTTGAGCACCTAATTACATATATATTTAAATAACATTATTTATTAACATAAGCAGATGTCATCATAGGATGTCTTGAAATTTAAACAGTCACCATCAGACCTTCAAAAAAGAGATGTTACTTGAGCTTTCACACTACAATATTTGCTTTCTTTTATTTTCTGTCTCTTGTATTTGCCAAACATAATTAACTTATGAGAGCTTTGCTATATTTGATAATCATTAGTTTATGTATGTATGTACACAAATATATACAATCTTTATATAAAAACTATTGAGGCATTACATGTCACACCACTGAGGTAGTACTTTCAGGATTAATACGCATTAGTCGTGAAACATTCCTCAGATCCTGCAACTGCTTAGCAGGCTTTCCAACACCTTCCTCAAATCTTTTTTCCACAACAGGAAGAACAGTTTCATAGAGAAAAGATGCATTTTGCCTGATGAATGCTTTCTTCTCAGGATCCTGTTCACACCGTAAACTGTAATCAACATGTTGGATGGCCACAAGGATTATCTCCATTAGACTTTCTAGCAGAACCATGTGCAGCTCAGGGAAATACAACTTGAGAGCTTCTTCCAAGAAAGCCATGGTCTGTTTCGTGAAAGCCACAACAGTGTAGCTAAGATTCACCCAGCAGTCATCTCCAGTGTACTGGTCAAAACTGGTCACACCACAGCTCCTCATTTCCTCTCTAAGCTTCCCTAAGGCTTCAGGAGTCATCAGGTTCATTCTTCTCCACATCTCTTCAGAGTTACGATGTTTTGTGGCCTCAATTATGATATCTTTGTAGCTCTGCAAAGCTCCTTTGATATCTTTTACTAATAGGGCATGAATAATGAAGGTCAAATCCAGACCAATATTGCTGAGTTGCTTACAATGTTCCTTGGCCACCTTCAACAACAAATGACATGATTAATTAAATTAAATCTAAAGAAATTGCACAACAGAGAGATGGTAAAATAATGTTCCTATTGGAAACTAACACTGACACATAGCTTAGGACTATTTCAAAACCAATCTCTGCATAATATTACAGTGTGGATCATTAATAGATAATCCAGGGGTGGGCTACATTTTAATCAGCTGACAACTACATTTCTTGGGAGAATTTGCTGCAGAATGTCAATGATGGATGTTAATATCTATTACATAATAGGCAAAAAGAGGAAGGGAATGAGGGAAGGAAAGTTATAAATACTAAATATAATTTGAATTCAGAAGGTGGTTCTTTTCTACCAGGGCCTAATTCAACATATGGCACAAGTATGTCAAAGTTTGTATAAAGCTCAAAATAGGCTTTGTGCCACTCAATAAATATGAACAGAGACTGCCTCATGTTTGGAGACTGCATTTCAAGATACATTATTTCTTAGGTTTCTTATTCAATCTGCCCACAAACATATGACAGAGGAAGAATGAAATCCATGAACAGTTTAACCCCCATTCTTGGCTTTTATTGTCCCACCTAACATTAAAGACAATGCAGATCTAATCCATGTGAACATTACTTATGCTAAAATTTAAGTAAAAATAAAAAAAAATGCTGTAACTATCTTAATTTAAAACATATAAATGAAACTTGCTTCATACATTTAAAAGAAACATATTCTCCAGTAATTTAAATTTTATCCCTAATGTTAATGCCAATATGAAATAAAACTGGATAAAAGACAAGTTTTATTTCCATTACTCCCACGATTTAGGTGAACAGAAGAGTGGTCTGTATTCCATTCCATTCCATTCCAGTCTTTTCAGAGATAAGAGAAAAAATAAAAACTGACAGATGTGCGCTTGCAACTTGTTTTGAACAGTAAAAAAGCAACATTATACAGAGGCTCATCCTTTGTTCTATAAAGCAAAATGTACTTTTTCAGGTAAGACAGGATCTGTGGTTAAGATCCAGCTGCTATGCAAAGGCAGTGCATATGACTAACCTGTCTTTTCCAAATGTTAGAGGGCGAGTCCATTTACCACAAGCAGAACTGGAAATGAAAATGTTGCTGTCTTCCAGCCCTTTTACCAATTGAACATAGGCATTTTGTTTTGTGTAACAAAAGAAAATGCTGTATGTGCATTTCTGCTTTCCTGTGTTGCAGTTATGTGTATATCTGTACTAGGAGGCCTCAGCATAATCTCCAAGCTGCTGATATGACTAGGCAGGAGAAGGATTTAGAACTGAGCAGCCACTACATTCCAAAACACTGCCCAAATACTTCTCTATTAGGGATGCACCGACAGACTTTTTCCAGTTTTTACTCCATTCCCCTCCATTTACTTACCTTTACACACTCAGCAGCAGTAGATAAACTCTCCTTACTATCAAACACCTGTTTGCTGAATGCATCTACAAACATGCGCATGGTAGACCGGGCCCAGACCACAAAAGCTGAGTAACACCCACTGTTTCCAGCAAAGTCAGTCTGAAACTCTCTTGCAGTCTCTAACAGGCTGGTAAAGAAGACATGACAAAGTTTGTGAATATACAGCAAAGTGGCACCCTCAATGCGCAACTGTCGGATGGCTGTGTGAACAGCAGCTTCCCTATTTTTCAAGAAAAGTTCACATGCTTTAGTTGACTGGCCCAAGCGAATGAGCTGAGAAACAGCTCGTCGGGTAGCTCTGGGCCCTCCTCGGAGAGACCTATCTGGAGACAATTCAAACACAAGGACCTCAGTGAGCTGGCGGACTCTTTCATCTACCTTTGCTCGCAATTCTTTAACCATCTGGGTCACAGGTTTGTCACTCAGATATTCCTTCAGCTTATCTAACAAATCAACTGCCCCTTCAAAGTCTCTCTGAGCAATGCAGACATCCAAGTCTTCTGGCAGTTCCTGAATCCATTCTAATGACAGATCCACCATTTCTTCTTCCGGTATTGCCTTCTTTTCTTCCTCCTCCTCCTCCTCCTCTTCCTCGTCTACTTCAAAAGGATTTGTAGTCTCAGCAGGCACTGGAAGAGTCCGCATTGGCACCTCCTGCTCCAGCCTTCGTTTCTCACTGAGAACTCGATTTCTTTTTGCCTCCTCCAACACTTCCAACCACTCTTTCTTGATCTTGGCATTCTCAGCTTGGAAGATGCGACTCTCGGGGAACATAAGCAACTTGAACATATCCTTCATGGGGGGGTTGTCCTTGACATTAACCACAGCCAGCCCATCCAGCGGGTAGAGGGCATCGTAACGGTACATGCCCCGCCGGTTGGGCAGCCATGCCGCCACCAGCAAGCAGTCATTCATAAGGAAAGCATGCACTTTCTGAATCTGCACCATGTGGTCGGCGTCGTATTCCACCAGGTCCCCGTTGTACACGAGGTACTTGCCGGGGCTCTCTGGCAGCAGGTCTCGGCAGCCCTCCACTTTCTCCAGGAGGGTGGTGAGAGTTCGCTGTCGGCCCTCCTCGTTGGCCGAGGCGTCCTTGCCGGAGAGAGGCAGGAAAGGGTTCGCGTGGGGGTCGGTGGCGGCCGCGGCAGCTCGCCGGGCTCCCGCGACAGCCGGGTCTTCTCGCTCGCCGGTATTGGACTGCAGCAACAGGGCCTGGGTGACGGTTTCCATGATGCCTTTCTGCTCGGTGAGGATGTGGCTGAGCTGGTACATCTCGCTCTCCAGGTAGCTGATCTCGCGGGCCGTCTCGATGAACTGCCGGTAGTTCTGGTAGACGTTGCGCTTGAGGCTCTGCGCCGTCTCCTCGCTCAGCGCCTGAATGCGCTGCCGGTGCTCCTGCAGGTCCCGGTCCCCATCCGACTGCTGGGACAGTTGCTTCACGTACTCCTCCGCCGCGTAACTCCCGGACTCCAGTTGCCGCCGCAAACGGCTAGCGCCACCGACTGCAGCCACCTCCCCCAGAGACACCGCCATGCCTGAGCCGCAGCAGCGAGAGACCCAAAGAGCAGAGACGAAGGAAGGCCCACGGAGGAAACACTCCGAAGAGCGCCTGCGCCGGAAAAAAAATAAACAGTCGCTGGCGAGGATCTTCAGGCGAGAAGAGCCTGCGGGAAACGTAAGACGTCAAGGAACGGCGACACGTCGCTCTCCGTTTCGCACGTTACCATAAATGTATCTTGTGTAGATCAGGCTTCAGTTCCGGATGTCTGGAGAGATGCGCAAGCGCGTTGCAGCATCGAAGACTAATGAGAAATGTTATGAGACATGGGGTTTAGCGCATGCGCCAGATTGAACAGCCGCTTCCGGCGGGTGGATGGCGCCTGTCGGCAGCTCGAATGTCGCTTCTTCGAGACACGATGGACGAGGACTTTTTGCTGGCCCTGCAGTTGCAGGAGGAATGGGAAGCGGAGGACGCGGAGGTGCGGGTTCAGACGATCTCCTCTGATCCTCCTCGGCCACTCTCGCTGATAGACGATGCCTGGGAGTTGCTGGACCCGAACCCCGACGTGAGGGGCCTCTTTCTGCAGTTCAACGAGACCCTCTTCTGGGGGCGCCTGGCGGCGGTGGAAGTAAAATGGAGCCCGCGCATGACTCTGTACGCCGAAGAAAGCGCCGGGGAAACAGGGAGGGAGGCATCCCTAAAGAGACGCCCTCCAGGGATGATAGGACTACCACTCCCAGAATTCTCTGCTGCTTGCAGTCCTGGGAATGGTAGTGCAGAGAATATCGGGGGTGGGGGTGGGGGGAGGAAAGGCAGTCTCGCAGGCTCAAGTGTCAGTCTCGCAGGCTCAAGTGTCAACAAAGATGCCTCTAGAGCAGGGCTTTTCAACCTTTTCACCCATTGTACCACTTTTAGGATATGGCAACATCTGAGTACCACCAGTCGCCTAGCAAGGTGTTGAAAACTTGATGACCAACCAAAAAAAAAAAGGAAAAAAGTGATAAAGTACAGGTAGTCCTCGACTTACAACAGTTCGCTTAGTGACTGTTCAAAGTTACAATGGCACTGAAAAGGCAAGGCAAGCCGAGCAAGACACCTGCCTGCCCACCCGGCGGCGCTCTTCCTCCTGACCAAGGTTTTCATTGTTGTGAGCATTTCTGTTGAGGATTGGCGGCGGGGGTGGGGTGGGGGGTGTTTGGTTTTTATTCCCCTGCTGGGTGGTTGCAGCACTTTTGGTCACTTCACATGACCCTCGGACACTGTGACCGTCACAAATATGAATCAGTTGCCAAGCATCTGAATATAAATCACAAGACCCTGGAGATGCTGCAACATTCCAGCTGATTGGCACTTCTTGGCTCAGCAGAAGCACCAGGATCAGTGCTGCTTTCCTGCTGATTGGTGCTTCTGGGCTCAGCAGAAGCACCAGGATCAGCGCTGAGCTCCAGCTGGAGCCTGGCGCTGATCCTGGCGCTTCCACTGAGCCCTGACAGCCCCGAAGAAGTGCCGATCAGCTGGAGCCTGGCGCTGATCCTGGTGCTTCCGCTGAGCCCTGACAGTCCTGCAGCTCCAGCCATCTCTCACTCAGGCTTGTGTGGTACTGCCACCGGTTCAGCTCATTCCCCTCCCCCGCTACTTTTCTAGGATGGTTGCATACCACCTGCCAAGTGCCAATATACCACAGGTGGTACCCGTACCACTGATTGAAAAGCCCTGCTCTAGAGCTGCTGCCATTGCGCCCCCCTTTTTTTAAAGGTAGAGCACATCTACCCATTAAAAATTTGCAACATTTTTATCTGATGATGGTTTGATAGCTTAAGTTACAACCCTGTTATTTCTGATTCTGATAAACTTTCCTAGTCAGCCAAGGTTGGATTGCCTGATTGCAAGCAGGCAGAGCTTTTACCTGACAACCATGCAGGGCATGTATAATCAGATACATATACTGGTCAGGATCAGCGATATCAGTAAAATGTTTGTACTTGAATCTTGGATTTTATGCTACAACAAACCAGCAGGATGAGGTAGCAATGTAATTCAGACAGAACTGGGCTGCTTTTAAATACTTTTCTACTTCTCTTTCTTGAAAAATTGTCCTCTTACTAGAAAACTAGTAGATTGCAATGGATAACTGTTCCAATCACATTCTGCTTTGATAGATTTTTGCTGTTGGAAAACAAAAATGATAGTTTCTGCTTTGCCTTCTAGGTGTGCTGGAGTTTGCTGCTATGAAGGTCATGGTGGAATGTGCTCCATCCGACTAAGTGAACCACTTTTAAAATTACGGCCAAGAAAAGATCTTGTTGAGGTATTGTAAGATTCTTTCTACAAAGATGGAATGCACCGTGTAAATTTCTTGCAGCCTAACGTGGTTGAAGGCATACATAAACTGTGGAATATATTTTGTCAGTAACAAATCAGATCTTGAAATATGCTTAATAATATCAGGATAATAGTAAGATATCTAAATATAGCAAGTAATTATATGAATAGCCAGAACTTTTCTATGAATAGAGCACTTTGATTCATACCTTAATGCTCTGTGTGGTTGCAGATGTTCAGTACTATATATATATATATGTAATGAAGTACTTTTTCCTAGGAATTAGCTCTCATTTGCTTTAAAGATAATATTTTAATTCTACAAAGATAGAAGAACGAACGAATCCTGTATTGTAAAAAATATCAGGGAACTCCCATGTAGTACTATGTGCTTTATTTCTGATCTATAATAATATTTTACTTTCTTATATAATGGGATGAGAAATGTCATATGTTGTAAATCCAAGATCTACTTCTCAGACTCTTTTTCTTCCTCATTATAACATAATAGTTATTTTGACCAAGGGCTTCTCTTAGTTATTGGATGTCAAACAAGGAGATAATGAAATTCTGTTATTATGAGGATGGAGAGCCTCTGGTCCATGGCCAGTTAGCTAAGACATCCCATCCAGTCTGTCTTGGTTTTCTGTTGTCTCCTCCATGATTGTTTTTGTGACAGAGAAGCAAGCTATCTTTCTAAGTTTGTTTGCTTACTGGGGCAAAAAAGTTCAATAGATCTATTTGCTTGATAACTGCAAACAGTTCTACATAGCTGTGGAATAAATGCAAAGTAAAAACAGTTTTATGAATTCCCATTGTAAATCAAGTACATTGGTACAAACCTGAATTGTAAGCATCGCATTTCACAATACAGTTCATATTTTTCTTACCATATGGGGGGTAAACTGAAATTGAGAAATTTTTTTGAAAAATATGCATATGCAATTGTCTTTTGTTAGAAAATGGATACTTAAGTAATCAATTAATTTCAGACTCTCCTGCATGAAATGATTCATGCCCTATTGTTTGTTACTAATAATGACAAGGATCGCGAGTCCCACGGTCCAGAGTTCTGCAAACATATGCACCGGATAAATCGCTTAACAGGAGCCAATATTACGGTAAAGGCTTTTTGTGATATATAGACTCATTTTGATTCTTCAAGCACAGAATAAGAGATGGCATGATGAGATGGCAAGCCAGTTCATGGAGGGATAGTATACGCTAGCAGAGTGGATATTTTCAGCCAATCTTCAAGAGTTCTATTATTAGCAGATGTAGTTTCATCTTTTGGGCTGAGGGCGACTAGAGCAAGCAGAAGAATGTGCGCCTTCATAAATGTTTACTGAAAATGGGAAAATGGGTAGATATGGAATACATACAAATGCTGGTAGAAACACGCGTATTCTGTAAAAAAGGAATGAATGTTTGTTGAAGAAGTGAAAAATAGTTGTATTTAAGAGTGTGCTTTTGCCCATGTTAAAGTAAGGATTTGAGTATACAGAGGAAACATAAGAAAAATTAGTGAGAATGGGAAAATTAAGTCTTCTGGACAATAGATTACAGTCAAGAATGAATAAGTGATTAATTCATATGGACTGAACTTTGAATCAGTAATACAAAAAAATATATTGAAATAGTTTGCTTATGTAATGAAAATACATGTTAATCAGTTTGGAAAACAAATATATGAAGGAAGAATCAGTACACATAGAGAAAGTGGAAGATCAAGAAAGTAGTAATTGGATGGGGGTGTCCAGACCCTCTTAAACCTGTAATTTGTTTGATTTATTGTTTCTCACTCCTTTTCTGCACTATGAATTATCACTGCTTATCCTGAAAGGGAGTATAGTATAGTATAGTATAGCATGACAGATGTGTATGTATTTACATAAAATGAAAGTTATACTGTACTTTTTCCCCTCCTTGGATTAATTTCAGATCTATCATGAATTTCACGATGAGGTGGATTTCTATCGTCAGCACTGGTGGCGTTGTAATGGACCATGTCAAAATAGGAAGCCTTATTATGGCTATGTAAAACGTGTAATGAATAGGGCACCATCTGCCAATGACTATTGGTGGGAAGAGCACCAAAAGGGGTGTGGAGGAACATTTATCAAGGTCAGAGAGCCCAACAATAGCTCCAAGAAGTGCAAAAAGAAAGATGATCAAGCAAAAATCCTAAATGATGATTCACGTATGTACCTTTTGTTATTTACCAACTATGTAACGAAACGAAAAGGTTAATTAGAAAGCTACTTAATTTTTTCTCACTAGTGCTGTATATAGAATAGTATATAGAATTGTGTTCAGTACAAAAGCAAAAGGCACTGAATTTCTATTTTCTAGATGAGGGTGATTTGAGATAAACTTGCATTTATCTTTTGGATTGGATTCTAAAAGCAGTTGGAACAGAATTAAGTTTTCCATAAGAGACTTTCTCAATTCCTTAATTCCACTAGTAAATTAGTTTCCCATCCCAGAATCCTTAAATAGGTATATAGTGGATTTTGTTTGGATTTGGCCTTAAAGTCTTGATTCCTGGTAACTGCCTAGACAAGTCCTTGTAGATTTCTTGGCAACATTTTCAGACCTTCCTAGGTCTGAGACTTAGGCCTAAAGTCACCCAGCTGGCTTTATGCCTAAGGTGAGATTCATGGTTTCTAGCTTTGTGTCTTAACCACTATATCAGACTGGTTCTCTAAAATAAAAATAGAAAAAAATAAATTCCGCATAAATTAAAATTTAGCTTGTTGTGCTCATATTGCATATTGGTTTTGCAGAATTGTCCACAAGTGCAATTTTATGGCTGATACATCAAATATTCTGGAAACCTTTCAAGCTCTTTTTTTTTCCTCTCTACCTACAAATAAATCTGCTAAGTTCATTTTGCAATGGGCATTCCTTAGTACATGTAAATATATCAAGTGAAAAACATTTGGAATGACTGACATTTATTTGAACTAACAACTTCTGGTGTAATTTCAGGAAAAGCTCATGGAAGCAGCATACAGAGCATAATACCTTTTAGTGGGAAAGGATATATCCTTGGAGGAAAAAGAAGTGAATCATCATTAAAGGGAGCTATAAGTCCAAGCATTAAGACCAGAGAACTGATCCAGTCACAATATCATTCACCTGCTGGTTCATTTAGGTCAAATCCTAAAAATGAAATCAAGTTTGAGCAAAATATTTCCTGCACAACCGTTTCCTCTCCGTTTTCTCAGAGCGGTTCTGAAAATAGTTCTGCTTCTAGTGTCACATTTCCTAGATTTTCAGTTGCTAACCGTAAAGTTTATACTAATGTTAATGGTTCACCAGTTAAAAATACTTCTTTGGTTGGAAAAAGGTCAGAATCAAATTCTACAAAGGCTCTAACAGATATACCTCACAAAGGGACTCCAGAAACCACAATTTCTGCATCAGCTACAATGACTCCAAGATCCCAGTCGCCATCTCAGAGAAATAGCAACATCCATAATGGTGGCCCAGCAAAACGAGCCAGAATGGAAGATTCAGTTATGTTTGTCAACTATTTTTTAAAGAAAGGAGAACTCAAGGAGACTAGAAAAACAGCAATCTCAGAAACGTCCACTAGTGACCAAAATAGAAATGTATGTTGCCCTGTCTGTCAATCTGAAGTTTTGGAAACCAAAATCAATGAACACTTAGACCTCTGCCTCTGAAATCTTTTAATGTGATTTAAATCTAAAGCTGCTTTACCCAAGAATTTTTTATCTGTATTTATGCAGTGTTTTATGGAGAAAAGTTTATATTCAATTTAGTTTTGTATATGAAACTTTCCTCAGTTTGAAAGTTTTTTTCTCAGTACCTATATGCTAATAACACAGATAACACTGAATGCAACATAGCCTTGAGAAAAGTGTGTTTCTAAGAGACTGTCTCTTAGTTCTATAATAATTTGATCTGATATTTAACAAAAGGAATATGTAAGGTAAGAAATTGGAAGTTTTTCTTTTGAGTTCAGAATGGTTATATGGATTATATCTTGTCTTAATGTAATTTTTGATCAGGTAGATGTTTTTCTAAATCATAAGTACATAGGGAAGGCTATGTCATGCTACCATTTCATTTATAAAGTGCCTGTTAGAATGATGTATGCCTACTATTAATAACTTTTGAAACTTATTTCCTCTGAGATAGAAATATATTCTTGCACACAACGCAGTTGATTGTCAGCTATTTGTACAATTAAAAATAAATAACTTTTCAGAAATAGCATCAGAAGTAGAACTCTTTTCCAAAAATAAATCATGAATTTCATAATCTTACCTTTAAATAAAATTTAAAATGTAACTTGTCTTTATAGGTCAGTTATGTTTTGGTGATCTGATGCAATGCTCCTGTACTAGTTTTTGGTTTTGAACAGCGATGTTAACATAAGCAAGCAAACATCTATTCAGGCTCGTATATTAGTGTTGACTGGAAAACCTACAGTAGGCCACTGCTATGAAAGGAACAGCAGTGGCATCGCTCAGGTTCTTGCTCATCTGAGATTCTACCAGTCTGCTGGTGGTTGTTCCTTGTCAACAGCCTGGAATGATCAATAAGTGACCAATAAGGAGAGCAGTCGTTGCTTTGTTACACATACACCTTTCTCTACAATGACACAATCAGTCTCAAAAAATTATTCAAAATCCACTAAGCAATTTTGAGTTGGAAAAATAAATAAGAAAGGCATCCAAATAGAATGCATTGAAATAATAGGTAATATAAATTACTTCCATTGTGGTTATGCTACATATTTATACATGATGATGTTGGCAGATTTATGTTTGGGAAATGTGACCTTGATGCCATCAAGATCAACTTTATATGTAAGATGCAGGTTGGCAAGAACCTTCAGCACAATCATATTCAGATTCAGACTCAGATGGAATGAGAAGAAGGATCTAGATCAGGGATTCCCAACCCCTGGCTCGTGGATTGGCACTGGTCTGCAGCATGCCAGAAACCAGTCTGCGCAAACAAGCATAGCCCCATCCATGGGATGCAGGCAGTACATGAAACCACGCCCCCTCCAGTCCGTGGAAAAAACTCCACGGAACCAGTCCCTGGTGCCCAAAAGATTGGGGATCACTGATCTAGATAAAAGGAAATTTAGAGAATCAAGAGAACCAATTGTCCAAGGTGCTTAGAAATAATTTAAAATAATATAAATTCAAGTAGAACATAAACTACAGTTATTTGAAAGGTGCATCAAACCAGTGTAGTGAAAAGACAATATGGAAAAACAAGCAGAAAATTTGCCAAAACAAATGTAAGTTGACAATTATTGGATTGTGCTCTGTTAAATAAGCTACATTTTGGCTGGATTCAAATAATACATCAAAGCTACCCTGTACAAAAAAACAAAACTTTAGGGTATTAATAGCAGATGTATATTTATATACAAAAAGCACAGGATTGTTCCCAAAGCTGATTGGATTATGGCAACAGATCAAGGAACAAAAAAGTTAAAAAATTCACTAGGTACAAAAAAAGGGATGACTTAAAAACTTCACATTAGAATATTGAGGTAAATAGAATATGAAGCAACTTTTAAAAGAAGAATCTGAAGAAAAATGTAAAGGAAACCATGGTTATAATCACAGGCATCCATGAAGGGGCCAAAGTGTTGGTCATGTGTCATGATGCAAAATCTACAACTTATGTGCTTGCATTAGACTGTGATACAAACATGTAAGGATGGAGTTTGCCTCATGACATTATCATGTGAGGCAAATAATTGTTTTATTATAATCTGTACATTATGTTCTATCTATGCCTTTTGGGTAATGCGCCTTGAGTATAATTACTGGGTCTAGATGGTATCCATCTGAATTCAATTGATATTGCTAATTAACAAAAATATATAAAACAAGCATAGAACAAGCACTAAGTGACTTATTCAAGTAACTGATCAAATTTATTCATTTTTATTGTAACTAACTGTGTAGACATAGTTGTTATGAGGAATCTCCAGATTTACTATACTGCACAACAAGAATATCACATTATTTACATTTAAAAGCAATGTATATATATCATAGTCCAAAAGGCTGATAGTTTACATTTTTATACTGTAGTTTTTTCTAAATTGCATTGTATTTTACTGTTGTTTCTATATGTATGGTTACTTGTATACTCTTATAGAGGGGTCTCCCTAAATATTAGAAATAATAAAAATACATCAGAATACATACTAAGGCGCTTGCATTTATGTGTTGTTGAAAGACATTTGCTTATTGTTTTGACTTAAAACTTTTTAAATTAAAAACACACATTTGTAGTAAAAAGATGGTCAGAAAATTAAATTTCTCAGCATCAGTTGAATTTCTTCTAACATCAGTGCAAAAAAAATGAACTACTGATTTGATGAGGAACTATTTTTTATTTAAAGATGGTATGAACCAACTGAAGATCTCTAATCAATTTAAAAATATCTCATAATCTGAAATCAGAGTGCTTTATGGAGGCGGTTAAAAGTGAATCCTCCTAGTGTCTTCTGAAAAGTGTATGTAAACAAGTATATGTATACATGTAATTGTCCCTTCCCTGGGAAAAGACTAGCCTTGAAATGTATCCAGATAGCACATTTTGCTTTTTGTGGATTAGAATAGTGCATTTCAACCTGTGGTATGTCGGCACCTGGCAGGTAGTATACATACGACAGGTTGAAAAGCACTGTAAAAAAAAAAGTGTAAAAGTGTAGTGGGGGAGATGAGCTGAAACACGGCAACACTGCACAGGCCTGTGGATGAGTCAGCTGGGGCTGTGGTGTTGCTGGGACTCAGCTGAGTGCCCAGGATTGGCGCATGGCTCCAGCTGACTGGTACTTCCAGGAGCAGCGTGCAGTCTTGGGGAGACAGCTGGAGTTGCACCGAAGGGGGAGGGGAGAGGATATAAAAGGAGGTGGTTTTGGCAGGGAGAGAAAAAAATATGGGGAAAAAGAAGGACGGAGAAAGACGAAGATGAGAGGGTTCTTTGAGACAAGCAGAGGAAGAGAAGGGGAAAGAACAGTGCAAAGATTAATTTGAGAGAAACAGGCACAAGTTTATTAAAAAGTGTGGTAAGTGGGCATACAGATAGTCCTCAACCTACGACCACAATTAAGCCCAAAATTTATGTTGGTGAGAAATTTGCTAAATGAGTTTTGTCCTATTTTATGACTTTTCTTGCCACATTTGTTAAGTGAATCACTGCAGTTGTTATATTAGTAACACGGTTGTTAAGTGAATCTGGTTTCCCCATTGATTTTACTTGTCAGAAGGTTGCAAAAGGGGATCACATGACCCTGAAACATTGTGATCATCATAAATATGAATCAGTTGCCAAGCATCCAAATGTAAATCCTGTGACCCTGGGGATGCTGCAAGGGTCATAAGTGTGAAACGTGATCACAAGTCACTTTTTTCAGTGCTGCTGTAACTTCGAACAGTCACTAAGCAAACCTTTGTAAGTCGAGGACTACTTGTATTTTATAACTTTCCTTTTGGGGGGGGTCATCAAGTTTTTGACACCCTGCTAGGTGAGTAGTGGTACTCAAATATTGCCATAATCTAAAAGTGGTACAATCTGTGAAAAGGTTGAAAAGCCCTGGATTAGAAGACACAAGGGCAGGATTGTGAATCTCTGAATTCAGTTTCGGTGGATATACTCAGAATACCTATCTACGTCTCTCAATCAAGAACTGTGTTTACAGCAAGGGAGGCACTAAGGTAGTAGAGATAAAATGTTTATAATCATAGTGTTGACTTACTAACAGGCCACAGCACTTTTCTCCCTCTGCTTATTTTCCCTCAGCAGCCTCACTTTTAAAAACAATCACAGCTAGATTAGATAATTAAAAACAGGGTTTATAAATAAAGCTAACAGACTTTTGACTACAGTTACAGTGTCACTGCCTGCTAAAAACAGGCACACACGCGCACTCACAGTTTATCAGATTACAAATTAGTTGCTGTGGAATAGGCTTTAAGAGAGTTACATAATTACAAAATAACCACATTGTTTCAAGAACTTTTATAATCTTTTAATTAGATTAGCTTTACAAGCAACTCGAGAGCTCTTTCAATAAGGAACACCGATTTTCAAAAGTTACATGACTTTGTAATAAATCTGCAAATGAATCCTGAATTTCTTTGCCTGCTAGATAAAAGTCTTGTTTTACAGCTGGCTAATGTCATGAAATAAAAATAGCATCATGAAGCTTTATCTTTAACCAGGACTAAACAGAAATACAGGCCATAAGATGGTCTGAAACAGGTTTCTATTTGGTGATGCCCCAGGCTGAAAATTTAACTGACGTGAACTGTTTTCAAATGGGAATCAGAGGCCCTGGTTTGGTAACCTTTGTAAATAATGGAGATATCAAAGAGACTGTATATCTTCCCAGCAAGTGCAAATGAAAGATGCTGATACCTTTGAATAATGGGACAACGAAGTAAAGTCTTAGGTTTGCATTTTAACACATTAAACATAATACAAAAGCAGTTAAAAGTTAGATTTACTAGACCTAAACTGTGCATTGCGCTGCAGACCAGTCAGTAAAGAATTTACACTCCTTGGCCAGGCTTCCAGAGGCACTTAAGAGTAAGATGTGTTTTCTTCTGATTTACCAGGATGGAGAGAAAAGTTAAACTATTGCAAGTTTGACAGCTAGTAAGTAATTTTTGGAGAAGGGAACAGAAGGGAACCAAAAAAAAAAAAAAAAAAAAAAAAAAACACCACCCAGATTTTTTTTGGTAACTTTTCCCAGCATGTTATTATGTTGAATTTTCTCCCTTCTGTCAATGGTCATTAAGCACAATCCTTGTTGTTTTTCATGTTTTACATGAATAGTAAGTTTTTTTTAATAAAAATTACCGAGCTTTCCATAGAAAAGGACTTTTAAGAATACAAACTATACAGATGTTAAGTTGTATACAGAGAAACATTTCTGTACATTACTTTATTTTGATTAAGTGAGGCAAAAAAGGGATTGGTGATGCTATCGGTAAGGCTGGGAGAATTTAAAAGTTTCCCCCTTAAGGGAAATCACATTTCAGTAGAAAACTAAAATAAATTTCACATAGCTGGCAAATGAATGTTGTTGTTCCTCACTGTTATTTTTCCAGAAACATTAGACCATTGTAAAAATTTCTCCACAGTATGAAATCCTTCACATATTAAGCCTGCAGTGATGCACTTCAGTCTTAATGTATTTAATCTACCCCTGACACTATATAAGAGGATCAAGGGGCAAACAGTAAATGATGAGGGATGATAATGTTTTGAGAGAAAACTTATCTCTGATTTTAACTCACACAAATGAGAGAAAGCTTTGAAATGAGTTAAGACAGATCTCCCATCGAAGTAATGGACGGGGGTGTTACTTCATCTAAAAGCCTAGAAAAGCCCTTACCGTTTAGGTATTGAATGATATCTGTGGACAGAATCCACCTAGTAATTCATCTGCAGAAGTTGCACAAGAGCCCAGCTTTTCTTTGAAGAACTGCGTTTCCATCAAATGGGTTCACAGATTGAAGTTCCCAGTGGAGTACACCCATAGCGTTCAACACTATGACAGTACAGATAGTATCAAGTTCACTTAGTGGCCAGCCAGTCACTTAGAAAAACCCAAATGAAACAGATTAAAAAATGGTTACTTTCTGGATTCAGTAAGTTAAGCCATACGTAACTGACAGAAAGACAGGCATCTTTTTCATGTTGCTTAAGTTTCAGAGAGAACACAATACAATCAATCAAATCAGTATAAGATATGAAAAAAATGGGTCCTTAGATGATTATTAAAGTGCTCCTTTTTAGATTTTAGGTAAAAAGACAATCATTTACTGGCATTTCATTTATTTAAATTAAGTTTTATGTGGTAGAATAATGGGGAAAATAGCAGATTTACAAAAATAGATAAATGCTACTTTGGAGAATGTTTTGTTCAATTTTGATCACTGAGCCTAGTTATACAAAATTATTTAAACTCCACATTTATCACTTTTTTAAAGAGGAAGATGAACAGCTCTGAACTGAATGTCAAAAGATGAATGATAGAAAATTTCTACTGTCGGGCACTTGTGTAAACTGTTTCTTGTCAATGCTTATCTTTACATTAGCAGTCACAAGACTGGAGTCACAATCGTGGAGTTACAATGCTTCAGCAATTAAAAAGCCATTTGATGAAATATTGAAACCCATTGTTTACTGATTCAAAATCCTGATTTGGTGTTGATTTTCTTTTTCTTATTATTCACATTCAAAAGTTAATAGATATCACCAAAGTTTGATGAAGGTGAGGTGAAAAGAGCCAGGATGTAGAGGAGGGAACTGTAAGGCCAAAGGCTTTACAAATGTTCTTTCCCATTTGAATCCGAAGGTTTATTTAGTTCAACCCTCACACCTTTTTCACCTGCAAAAAAGGGAGGATATTAATATGGAGAGATGGTAGTGATACATGGATTGAAAATAAGTTATAATTTTCCTTTTATTAAATTTAAAACAAAATATAATACATATTTTAGAACTTCACAATTAATGCCTGTTTGAAACCAAGTTAAATATGAATTCACTAAAAAAATAATTATTAACAGGACATACTGAATTATACAAAACTAATGACTGAATTTGAACAAAAACCAGCATCACGGCACATCTTTGCACTTGGCTTTAGAATGTTTTATTATATTATTTTGTTATAATTAACACAGCATCTTAGTTTTATTGTTATGTTATTTATTTATTCATCAAATATATCTCACAAAAAAGTGCCTTTACTGGTTAGTCCTCAACTTACAACCATATTTGAGCCCACAATTAGTCCTTGAAGCAGGTGACACAGCAGAGAAATCTGCCTCCTGAGTCCCACGAAATGTAGTTCCCTGACAGGACTGCCCTATTCGGCTGGAACCAATAGGACAGGCAGATATAATCGGGGAGAAGTGGCCCCTCAAATAATCTGGCCCATGTAGGGCTTTACAAGTAAAAAAAACAAACAGCACCTTGAACTGAAACTTAAAAACAAACTGGTAACCAGGGTTGTAATATATGCTGTTCTGTACTTTCTGGCGTATAAGACGACCTTCGCAAGCAGTAAAATCGGCGCCAAAATCGGAGGTCATCTTATATGCCGAGTCGTCTTATAAGGCGGAAATTACGGTAGTTTCTGGCGTATAAGACGACTTTCTAGGCATGTGACTCGGCGCCGAAG